GGAGTGGTTCCTGTCATTTGGACGGTAAAATACAGGACTATCAAATGCTGTTTCTTCAGCATTAATGGTACTTGCAAAACAGTGGCGCCAACTGTGGAAGTCTAAAGATGCAGTTGCCATGACTCAGAACTACACTGATTGCTGTTTTGTTCTTGTTTTTAAAGCTGTTTATGCATAAGAAAGAAAACACAAGATTCCAGAAGAAAGTAATTTAAATACTTGCACAGATAGGAGTCTACAGCTCAGGCTGGTTTATGGCTTTCCCTCAATACTTAGAATTTCCCTCATCATCATAAAATTTTTGGTCTGCCCTGCTCCAGTTCCAAGACGAATGTGCTAAAACCCAGGGGATTGCCATGTCTGACAGAAGAGGGATGTATCAGCAGTCCTGTCCGTTATGCATTAGCTGCTGTGTGAAAAAGATGGTCTTTCTCACAGGTTGCTGAATGGGGGATCCAGAAGCTGGGGCTTCCAATGTATGCAGACCACCTGGCTGGTACCTACAGTGGTGGCAACAAGCGCAAGCTTTCCACTGCCATTGCACTGATAGGCTGCCCACCACTCATCTTGCTAGTAAGTGTCATGATAACATAGCTCTGCAATAGTTGAATATAACATCTCATAAAACTACATGCTAAAGAGGTACAAGGATGTTTATGACAGTTCTTGCAAGCTCCTCTGCCTTCAACTTAAATCTACTTCAGTGTTTAAAGCTCTGCTGAGCTCTTTAATTTCAGGGAGAGGCTTGGATGCAGAACTGTTTCAAATCGACCCCAAGTGATGATGAAAAAAAGCTCTTCAATAAAGAGTGGTTTGAGATAAAATCTATAGTTCAGCTGAATCTGAATTTAAATCCATGTTTGGTTTCAGTCTGCCTTTTTTTGTCAGATTAGAACCACTCATGTAGAAAATGATCTTATGACATATACCTTGCTGCTTTATCCAGTGGAACAGAGGAAAGTAGCTATTGTTTTGCAGCCTTTAATATCTTTGGAATGAATTACACAAATTTTGACTAAACTATACAAAAGCTGAAATGTAGCTCTCATCAAATAACATATCAGATAATTGCATATCTTGAGGAAAACTTTTAATGCAATTACTGCAAAAGTTCTTTATTTAGATTATACTGTGCCACTTTTTTGTAGGCTGAAAAGAAACATTTTAATAACACTTTAATAGTATGGTTCCTTGTGCCATTTAATGTGCCATTACAGGTACTCTGCCTGTACATAACAGCTAAAATATCTTCTCATGATATCTTAAGACAAAATGTTCAATGAATGCTTTCTTTCTCCAAGATTTTTTCAATCCTTTTTTGTTACTAACTGGGTTAAGTGATTTATGCAGGACCAGATCCTTAGCTGGTGTGAATCAGAGTAACTTTACTGGCTTCCTGGGTTGAGAAATCTGTCCTATCTGTTTTTGTAAGCAGGAAGTTTACGTGGGGAGAACTCACTCTCCTCTTAGACGAGTTGTTGCCCTAGAAAAGAAGGATTTCATTTGAAGTGTCCATCTCTGCTTCAAAGCTAGTATTGCAGATATGAGATTCTTCTCTTTGTTTCTCCAGCATATTGACCTACATCTCTAATGTCCATGAAAACATGGGAGCCAAACTTGACACAATTTGATGTAACTGTGTAAGCCTTTTTCCCTTTAGTTATGTTTAGGGTCCCAAATGGTTTTATAATGGGGTATCACAAATGCTTACATTTTTTATATCTAAGAAGCTAGAGTGGATGCTGCATTTGTTGTAATAGTCACTGCATTCTCTTCCCTGTAGCTGCACAGTGACAGCATTATATCCTTACCTACAGTTTCTTGTGCTTGTTTCCTTCCTGCTTTCTGCCAAGTACATTAGTACCCATTTACTCATATACTTCTCAAGCTGCATGTGCTTTCTGAAGGCACAGATTTTAGCAGGGAAGCAGCAATATACCAAGACCTAAACACACAGTAACTTGATTCAAAATATATTTTCTTACCTGCTTATCTAAGTCTGAGTGTCTTAACATTTCCCTTACAGGATGAACCAACAACTGGAATGGACCCTCAGTCCCGCCGCCTCCTGTGGGACTCTATTGTCAGTGTGCTCAGAGATGGGAGAGCTGTGGTTCTAACCTCACACAGGTAAACAGAATTCAGAATTCCAGAGCAGATGAAGTTCATCTGCTGCCTTTTACCTCAAGTATCTGTTCTCTGTTTTGACAGTATGGAAGAATGTGAAGCCCTCTGCACTCGTTTAGCCATCATGGTAAAAGGTACCTTCAAATGCCTGGGCACAATTCAGCAACTAAAATACAAGTAAGTAGAATACTTTTATGGTGTTTTTAGTGGGGAAACTTAGTGTATGTGACATGTACCATTCTTAAAACAGTAATCCATTCTAAATAGCTGTTGTTTAAACAGACCTATTTCTGAGTGCAGCTGTGGTATCCTAGACAACTTGAGCAGATACCATTTCAACTCTGTTCTGCAGGGCAAATGCCAGGCCTCCTACAAAGCTAGATATTATGCATTATCTTTGAGATACTATTAATGTTTTCATAGCTGCAGAAAATTAATTTCCTTCCTGTAGAATGAAACTGTCTCTTTTTCCCCATGTGTTTCCCAGGTTTGGAGATGGCTACATAGTCACCCTGAAAATCAAAGCTCCAAAGTCTGGGCTGCCTCCAGATCCTACTCCTGCTGAGCAATTCATACGCATGAACTTCCCAGGGAGTTTACAGAGAGAGAAACACTACAATATGCTGCAGTATCAGATCTGCTCCTCCTCTCTGGCCAAGATTTTTCGGTTAATAGTCTCCAATAAGGAAAACTTGCATATTGAAGAATATTCTGTGTCTCAAACAACTTTAGATCAGGTGAGTGAAAGATAAAGCATCCATGAGAAAGCCTGTCTTGACCAGACCTTGGCAATGCAATGGGGATGTATCCCAGCAACTGAAGGATCAAACTGTACAGAGTAGAGAATTATCTCACGCCTCCTTCTCAGGCAAAATTCCCAGACCCCTAGTCAAGGAGGATGGATCAGATATGAGGTCTGTAATTAATTCCATGTGTAAATAAGTGTCATTTGAAATCTGGTAAGAAATTTTCCCAGATGACAGAATTCTCATAACCCATTCCTTAAGGAGCAGCAGACTGAGCAAGGTCAGGTATTCAGAATGAGGCTTGCTGAGCTGGGAATAATGTTTGTTTATTAATAAGAGATTCGGACTGTGTTGTGTCAGAGATAGCATGATATCCGTTAAATGTTGATAGCTCCCTGTCATGCACGGTTATGCAGGAGCAATTAAACACACAAAACCTAGGAAGTTCACTGGGACTTTTGGCAACACCCATTTGTTAGGGGGTATTAGCCCTTTGTGCCTGCTTTCCTAGGCAGCTGAAGGTCCACATATTCAAAGGTGTCTTTGGGAATAGTAGAGAGACATTCCTGGCTGCCTTACAGCTTTCTACTAAAATATTCAGTCTCCTTTTCCTCATCACAACCAAACTCACTCATGCTGTGCAAGCCAGGCAAACCTGGCTGAATCCATCTTCTGCTTAAGAAGAAGGATTTTAGTGACAAGCAAGTGCATCCAAAGGAAGGAAGTTGCAAGGAGGTTTATCAAAATAAAGAAGGAATTAATGATCTCTGCTGATACACAGTGTCCCAGTTCATGTCTACAAATTCCCTGTCTCTTCTCTACAGAGAGGCCGAGAGGATGCACATGTACAGAGACATTCCATGAACTCATCTCAGTTGATGAGATGGTGACATTTTCTGCTTTCCTCACACAGGTTTTTGTGAACTTTGCTAAACATCAGATGGAGGATGAGGAAATCCCTTTGCACCCCCGTGCAGCTGGAGCCAGCCGAGAAGCGAAGGTGTCCCCTGCTTTGCACCAGCAGGCAGTTGCATAGACTTCCTACAGTCACTAGCACTTCGAGTGTGCACAGTGCAAAGATGTGCCATACCAGAGGAGTACAAGGCTCAAACAAAGGTCCCCACCCTCAGTGTTATACTGACTTTTTTTTGCACCTTTCTGAGCACTGTGTTTGCAACAGCAACAGCCCTAGCAACAGCAAACTTCTACTGCTCTATATGGAACAGTATATGCTGAAAATGTCAAAGGAACGGCAGGTCCTTGCTATAGAACAAAATCTTCCTCTATCTTCATTATAAGATACAAGAGGATACATCTTATTCTTCCTTGTTGACATGTATAGAGCATTAAAGGTAGGTTCTCCAGCTGGCCCTTTTAGACTGGTAGGTTTTTCTTCTTTAAGTCAACTAGACCAGTCAGCAGACAGGTCCCAGTGCAGAGAGTATGGCCCAGCTGAGAAGTGGATTCCTGCCATCCTGACTGTGCATGACTACCAAAGTCAGAACATCAGTGCTGGCTGATGGGGCTAGAGCTGGGAGACTTCTTCATGTCTCACCAGGCTGCCAGTGAAAACAGACAGTTGTTTCAGCATGAATGGGAAGAATTAATTCAGATCTCAGACCCAGGCAAGAAATTTGCTTTTTAAAAAAACCCAAACCTTAATGAAAATGATCTCATACTCATCTTCCAGTTTCTTCAATAAAAGCATAATGTCAAAATGGAGATTAAAAGGCAAGAAAGTATGTCCAAATTTTCTTCAATAGAAGCATAATGTCAAAATGGAGATTAAAAGGCAAGAAAGTATGTCCAAATTTTCTTCAATAGAAGCATAATGTCAAAATGGAGGTTAAAAGGCAAGAAAGTATGTCCAAATCTGCCAAAAGTTTTGTTTCCTCATGGAGGTGTGGAAAGGTATCTTTGTTACTAAACGGGATCAATTTTTCCTTCTTTCCTATAATTGGACCTGAAGTGGGTGTAAAGTATGAATAAGGTACGTGCTTTTCTCTGTGCTCAGAAAGAGGATTTCAGCCTGCTTGTGCTCCACACTGCACTCAGTGGGAAACCATTTGGCATTTAGTTCTTTTCTCTGCTTCACAGTTAAACCAGTGGAAAATGTCAACACAAAACAAATTTGCGATGATGTATTGCTTCAGTTACCTACCAGGTCTAACCATTTCTAAGAAATCCTCTCTGAGATATGTTATATAGAAATAAAATCTGGGTCATGTGGGGTTTTTTTGCTTTGTTAGGTTTTTTTTCATTGCTTGATGTAGATTTTTTTTTAATCTAAGGACATTCTTACTTTTTACTCTACAAAATATAATGAAACTTCAGCAGCCAGCTGTAATTTTCTTCTTTTGCCATAATTATTTCAACTGATTTCAAAATAAAGTCTAGAATTTATTGCATATTTCACCCTTACAAATAGTTGAAAAAATCCTTCTATACATCCATTAGAGAGAAATAAATGAATCATGAAACAAAAGAGTATCTATGCCTTCTCTTCATATGCTAAAATAGTTTCTTGAAAATGTAATTCAGATAGAATGCAATAGTCTTTTTTTTTTTACTAGGTTTTGCACAAAACCCAGCTAAGTCCCACTGAACATGTTGTGAAAAAGAAAACACAGGAAGTCCAAAATTGTAGCTGATTTTTCTTCTTGGCTCTGAAAATAGGAAGGGAGCTGAGGACTAGCAGTCACTTCATGTATCTACAAAGTGTATAAAAAAATATTCAGAGAATACTGACATAAATTGCAGGGTAAAAGGTCCTTTAGTATCATAAGGACTTGTTATAGGAAAACAGGCCAAATATCACAGATATAGCATAGATCAGATCTTCTGAACCTTATTTACTAGTATGCAATCTACTAATGCAGAAGACTGAAACCAACCAAACAGAAACCCCACCAGCACCATCAACACAGGGTGTTACATCCTCAAATACTACAAATTGCTTCTCACTTGACATTCTTTTGGCAAATTAGGGGTTAGACCCAAATCAGGTATTTCAGATATTGCCTATTTCTTTATTCCAGAAAACCATTCATATTCTTTGGTAATGTTATGTGTTACAAAGCACCTGCCTCCAGGCAGCACACTCTTCTTCAAGTCAAAGAGGGCAGATCATGCAACTGTATTCAGGCTGGCTGAACTGAGCTCTCCAGTAGTTAGCTGGTATGTCCTCATTCCAATGTACTTACGTCTTGCAGAATGCCACTGCTAAATTTGGAGCTGCTTTTCAGCACAGACTTCTCAGTATCTCTGATCCATCAATCTAAATAGACTTGTACATAATCTAAGTCAGTCAGGTTACAGTGAACTCTAGGGGCTTTTGACTGCCAGCTGTGCAGTGAAGCCCTATTTCTAGAAGGTGCTTCTGAGTTGAGAATTCTTGAATGTATAGAAGTGTAGCTTTCAAGTGCATACAGTTTCCCTCAGCAGTGGAGATTCAACATGCATCAAAACCCTTTACATTTATTCACTTATTTGGGAGGAGGTTTATAAGCTTTTTCTTCTTGAAGTTCTGTGCAATATTCAAATGCAACCTTTTTTCTTACAACAAAAAGGGAATAATTGGCATTCGAAGACTTGGATAATCCTTGAATTCTCGCAGGTAGGTGCAGTGTTTATCCTTTGCCCAGACTGTCATCTGAATGAAGCAAAGCAAAGTGAACAGCCCCACTGGAAAGAAGGGAGAAAAAGATACATTTCAGTATCAGATTAAAAACTTGATCTTGTTGCTGACATCACTTCAGGAGGAAGTACCAAAACATTACTCACCTGGAACACACTGAGTCATGATAGTGAAACTGATCCAGGTCCCCACCTGTTTTGGCCAAGGAAATTTAAAATGTTTCTGGTGACAGCATTTGCATTTATGTCTCTATTGATCAAAACCAACCTTGTCCTAGTATAGGTAAATAAAAAAGCCAAGGTCAGCCAGATCAGTTTCTAGTGTTAATAACCTTTAGCCAAAAAGGTGAACAGTGCCTTCTTATCACAAACAAAACCTTCATGTTTGCTTCCACAGCTATTACCATGAAAAAAAGGTAAGCATTACAACATAGTGTCCTTTCCATTTCTCTGCCTACTTTGTATTTATCGTCAGTGCCAGGAATGATAACTTCCTGTCTGAGGCCAAGTTCTCTTCTCATTAACATCTGTTAATCACCTCTGAAGTTAAAACCTGATGCTGTCTTTCTGTGCAAGAGTGAATTTTACACTGAGTTGCACTGGTTTTAACTGCTTTTGAACCTGAGTCAGGAGTTTGGCTCCTGATTAAGGAATATGAAGCAATAAAATGATTCAAGCTTCTGAAAGAATCACAACCAACACAAGCAACTGCATAACAAGAAATGGGGAGGTCGACCTGGGTCTGTTTTCCTCTACCACAGTGTATTCTATTTGTGTGTGATATTCCTCATATTATAACCACCAGGTGCTCCCATCCCCTCACTGCAGCATACATTCAGTGGCAATTATTTCCCTGTTCTTGTCTGCAAAATTTGCACTGCTTTAGACTCATAGAGTCAACTAGGTTGGAAAAGATCTTTAAGATCAAGTCCAACCTGAAGCACAGGCACAGGGTCTGGACTATCTGTTTACAGTTAGCCCTTGTAAGTACTGCCTCAGTGAAGGAGAGGAAAACCAGACAAGTTCCTGTCTGAAATCTGATTTCATGGGGTTTAGGAGAGGAGGGGAAAGGTATTGAACTGAACTGTTTCATGTTTAACCTTCCAAAAGAAATGAAAATATATTCAGCCAAACTAAAATCTAAACATCTTGTTTGAAAATACATACCTCATATGTATAGTTAGGGCAAGATACAAAGAAAAACAGCCATGTGAAAGGATTCTTTGTTGGATATGGGATCTTACGGGTTTTGGATCCTATAGATCAGAAAACAAATCACAAAATGTTCACATTCCTAAGTATATTGTTTCCTATAAAGACAACCCAACTCTGCCTACTCGTGTGTCTCATCACTGTCAGAAGGACAAGCAGGATGTGGGGGGAAAACAGGATGTCCTCTGGACACGAGAAGGAATGGGAGGAAATGTTCTGGGCATTAGAAAATCATCTACATATGCCTTTGATCACAGCCACTCCCGTAAGAAGAGGTGTACCTTAAGTTTTAGATTTAGAAGTTAAAGGTTTTCTTAGGTTGTCACAAAATGGGGATTTTAGCAGTCACAGTTGATAGCTGTATGATGTTTGACTCCTGCCTAAGGAATCCAGGCCTCAACAGAGATCTTGTGCCCCCCTATAGAAGCCAGTGAAATTACTTCCCTTTGCTCACCAAAGCATAGCTTATACTAGCTCTGTTTCCTTTTGCACTCTCAGTGTAACTAATACAACTGCTCCTCCCGACACAATCTGAACTGATCAAAATTCCACTAAGATAGGAAGTGCTGTTTAACAATCTTGGATTCCTTGTACTGTCTGATCTCCTGTAGGATCCAATCTCAACAGCTCTGAGCAACCTGTGCTCCCACAGCAGTCAGCTAGCAGGTATCAACACCCTCCAGGATCCCTCTTTCATGAGGTAGAGTAACTGTAGAAGTACTGAATGGCTGCACCAAAGTGCAGTTTTTACCATTTCTCTGGAGGTCACTGAGTGCAACGTGAATGGAAAAATTTCCAGCTTCACACAGCTGCAAGAAAAAAGCATAACAGGGTTAAACATGTGCTTCCCTTCTATTGACTCTTCTTCCTTTTGTTATTTCCTGGGGTACTTACAAAAAAGGGGGGAATAAGAGGAAAGAATCTATCATAAGCATAATAAATATCCTTAACCACAGTTGCCGTCTGACAGGGGGACGGAATGTCTTGGTTCAAAGATGAGCCCATATTGTACTTGTACGTACTTATACTCACATATATTTATGAGATTTGCCAGCAAATGTGGACTCTCTGTCCAAAGGATCAAATTTACTGCGTATATAATCCCTATGAGATCTAAACGCAGTAAACCAAAGGGGATAAAAGTAAACCTTGCTTATCTTTTGATAAAAACTTGCTTTATGTTTTGATTATACTTACGTCTTTAAAATCACCAAAAACCCTATCATTTGAATAGTTCTGGTTTCTCAAAAATTACTAGAATCCTAAAGAAAATTAAGGACTCTTAAGTTTTCTTCTTTAGAGTATAATTTATAAGAATCATGAAATATAATTGACCCAGCTTCCTCCATGGATTTGAAATAATGCCTCACCAATCAATTATGCAGGGAGTGTATTGAAATGACCCATTTACACAATTATGGGCAGTCTCCAGCATCTGCAAAGCATAACTATTAAAGCAAATGACTGGTGCTCAGAGCTCCTGAGTTTTATTGCTGGCTCTGTGCTTTCAGCTATGTAGTCTCTCTATAAAATGAAAACAGGTGATGAACTCACAGAATTTTCCTACTGCGAAGCTGCTATGAGATCCTGTAGTTACTGACAGTTTCTCAAAGCAAGTGAACAGCTGATGTTCTAAACAAGTTACATATACATAGAAAGAATGGGTACATCGTGTCGGCTACTCTAATGTTGCTTCTGCATGTATGAAATGTTCCTAGGAACTGTGAGAATGAACAGGCAGTGACTTAAGGCTTTTTCTTCCTAAGGAAAACTATAAAAAACTTCTGAAGCCCACCAAATGAACACCTATCCCTGGAAATGATCAGCAACAGGTATATACTTTCTTAGTTGGCCCGTTTTCTGAGTTTTGTGATCTGTTGTGATCCTTAACACTCCAACAGTTCACAAAACAAACTCACCGGCTTTTAAACACAGTGTCACAAACTGATAGTTCAAGGCTTCTTTTAAAGGTTATGAGAGATAATTATCCCACTCTTGGAATGGATACTGAATCAAAATCTACCCTTGTGTACAAGATCACATTAAAAACTGAATAGATCTGTTCAGTATGCAAGTGGTCAGCTTCATAGTATGTCCCAGCTGTTGAAGTTCTAAGTACCTGCTTATCCTAGTCACTCCCCTGCTTATACAACATCAGAAATAAAGCAATGTGTTTGTAATTTTATTAAAAGAACAACAAACCTACCAGAAACATGATCACAGCAAAATTTATCTGTTTTTTCCCATAAGCTATAAAAACAAAAAAGTTTACATGTGAGTAGCACAAATAGGCAAATATGTAAGTACTTAAATCATAGAGAGTTGTTTTGCTACTTACAAGGAGGAGTGTAAAGAGGATGATTGATGTAATAAGCAAGCCAAGCTGCAAATCCCCAGTAATACAAGCAGTTCTGAAAAACAGGGAATTTTTCTTTGCTTTAGTACAATCCTCTAGGCCAGTATTCACTGCAAGGACCACTGATAGCAATGAATTGGGCTGATTCTTCAAGCCACTGATAATACAACAGAAAATGACAGTACTAAGTGTGGTAAGGCGGGAGCAGACAACAGGAGATTACAGGAAGAACATAGTAAGATTTCCTGACAAATATCTTGAAGCTATTAAGTTTGTAAACAGTTTTGGAACATATGATCATAGTACTGAAAACAAATCCCATTTTGTCTGGCAAGCCAAAAGATCCAAAAGATGAAGTGCCACCTAGGCTGTATGGTGAAGAGAGACCTGTTATGCTGACCACTGAGGCTTTGTAAAACCAGATTTAGGCACTGTGCTTCTTCTCTGCTTATTACCTTGTATTGCCCAATCTCTTGCCTTTCCTCTTCTCCTTCACCCCATCAGTTTTCTTTCTTTCTTTCCCATGATTTAACTTTCCCTACCTACAGTCATGGTGCCTGACGTTTTCCTTTGCCCTTGCACTGCGGTATCTTTAGTTTGTCCCTTTTGCTGCTGTCATTGGCTTTCTGTGACCCAGCTTCCATTCTCTAAACTCTGCTAAAATACCTCATGGCTGGGCTGACCAATCTCAAAGCTTGTTCACAGGCTTCATCCATGAAAAAAGACTTACAATGTCAATCTCTGCCTCTCATTTGGATTTCCTTGCCCTGCTGTTTGTGGTTTTTCTTACGACACTCATTCATTACCTTGGTGACAGGTTATCTTCTCCCACCCTATAGGTAGGAGGAAGGCCCTTTGTTGGCCTATTCCTCTTCTTCCTCTATGCTCCCACCTGTGGGTCTTGCAGAGACCGACCTTAACCCTTGTCAACAACTCTGAAATTTGCCTCTCATCAGTTGAGATTTCTTCTTTTATCAAACCTAGTGCCTCAGCTTTTCATGTTTTAGGGCATGTTTGGTTATCATCTGCACTTCAGCAAGACCAAAACTGAGCTCTTCATCTTCCTTTCACCATTTCTCCTGTTCTTTTCCTTTCTCTGATCTTTCCTTCCCTCCTGTTTTCACTTAAGTGAAGCACTGCTCCTCTTACTCTTTCTTGTGATGCTTTTTTCTTGGCTTTCCATAGGTTCACATACCTTAAAGACTTCTAGGTCTTTCTGCTTTCTCCTTCACAGCTTTCCTTTCCTGCTCATGAAGACAAAATCCGTATTTCAGGCTGCATTCTTTCCTGTTCTGGCTGGTCTAACTGTTTGGTATTTTATTTGGAATTTTTCAGCCTATACAAACCAGAACTGAATTTCTGGTAATAATACCCCAAACAAGTGGTTACCTCAGCATCTGCAGCCCATACTACCTGACTGCAGTGTCTGCTGGTGTGTTTTGCTGCAAATGCTGGTGAAGGGTAAACCTTCCCATCTGTTGCAAATGTTGGTATCAAACATTTTGTTGTCTTCCCACTTCCATTTCAGAGTTAATTGAACCACTGAAGTTCTCAGAGACCTCAGACAAAATGGACACCCTTTGGGGTATGCTGTAATACAAGCACACAGTATGTCCTTGCTCTGAGATTGTATATTAATAGCTAACTGATGAGAAAGAGAAAATTATTATCCAGTAATTACAGATCAGGTGGGACATAAGAGAATTATAGAATCATAGAATAGTTAGTGTTGGAAAGCACCTTAAGATCATCTAGTTCCAGCCCCCCTGCCCTGTGATTACTTCCCTTTTCCTCAGGAAATGCAGCAGAGCCAGAATGACTCCCATGAGGAACAGTTTAGTGGGTGTTCTATCCATAAACTACTTCTTCCTCCCTAACACTAGCTTCTTCCAGCATAACCTACAATGTACTAACTACTGTACAAACCTAGGAGGAAACAGTTTCTTGTAATCTTGAAATGGCATCTTATGAAAAACCTGTCCCTAACTTCAGGGCTTGGCACAGGATGGGTCATAGGGCAATGTATTTCAGTAAACAAATAAATTATCATGGCTCAGCTCCCAACAATAAACGACGTAATTAAGCTAAGCAAGTACTGTTCATCCAAATAACGTGTTTTGCTGCAAGAGTATTCCTCAGTTATAAGGAAAGGAGCTTTAAGAGTGGAGTCTGCCACTGCTAAGGTCCTTAGCAGTAACACTACAAATGTCTAGATGCCACTAGAAGTCATATTGCTCATAAAGCCTCCAGTGAGGTTCAGATGGGAAGAGTATACGCAGACTACATGCAGACTTTTGAAAGAAATTGTTTCTGTGACTGTTTCATATTCCAGGTAAATAATACAGTTTTACAAAAATCTTTTATGAAAAAAAACATAAAAAATTGTGGATCAAGATCAAATCTTGCAGGGATCCCATAAATAAATTATTCCTAAGTTCACAAAGTTATGGCTAGGACTTTTATTTTCTCTGTTCTAACTGATGATCCCTATGATGGCCACAACTATTCCTTAATGCTCTGCCTATGTTTATTCATGACTAGCATGTACCCTTCTGTTTGTCTCATTATATTGTCTTCTGGTTTAAATGGTATTTCTTTAGGTCTAGGGTTTTTTTTTCCTCCAGGTGTTTTTATAGAAAGCAGCAATATCCCTTCTATTTACCCATGCAAATGTTCAGTGAGACTAGTTATAAGGTTATAATCTTTGAGGAATTCCACTGGTACCTCCCTATTATTAAAGGCCTGACATGCTTTTCCAGCACAACCACAATCATCTTTCCTTTAGTTAGTTCCTTTATCACCACACAATTTTTGTATTCATCCCTATCTTATTCAGTCTGAGCCAGTTGTTTACTAAGTCCACATATATCAGGTGTTCTACATTTCTGCTTTTGATGAACCCCTGCTGCATTTTATGGCATTATTTATTCCTATTTCCATTTGGGAAACAAAGGATAAAAATCACAAATCTCATCAATTCCTGTCTCAGATCTCTGTTTACTGAGACTGAAGTGGGTCTTATTAAAGATAACATTCCAGGTGCTTAGGAAATAGTCTATGTATATCTGCTATGTATGTGATCAAACACTTGAAGCAAGAAGCTTTGTCTACCACCTGCATGTGAGAGGAAAAAGGAAGAAGATATGATATGATACTTTTCTCACTGGCACAATTTTGGAGTAAAAACACTGAAGTAAATGAAATTATACAAGCAAATCAAACCCAAGCACTGCTAAGAGATAGAAGAAGAATTGTGAGCAACTTTACAGATGAAAGCGAGTACAACCAACCTGAGAAGGTGGAAAAGTTGAAGCAATCGGAATGATCAGTACAAATGTCAATTTTAGCAACAAGTTTGTATGGTCTGAAAGGAACAAGTAGTTGTCAGAGACAGCAGTGAGAAAATGAAAACTTACCACACTGTACACATCCTTTTTCAAGGTAAAGTTGCTCATTTTTCTGCTGTTTAGCATGCATTAGCTGCTCCTGTGTCAAGAACAAGGCTTTAAGAAATCTACTAGCCTTTTAACAACCCCTGCACCCTTCCACTGTAGAAAACACCGTAACTTGCCAGGAAGGATTTTTCCCGAGGGCCGCTGCTCAACTACAGACCCTCCCTCCATTTGGAAAGCATGAAGCTGCTACCAGAACTACCAGAACGCATCCATTAGGAGTTAGCCACAAGGTAGAGCTTCGGCTGCTGGAAGTATGATTGCCATAAGGCAAATTCCAGGGGTCTGTCTAAATACCAAATGTTAGATACCCAAATGCTGATACTATATGCTTTTCCAGTTCCCTGTCTTCCTGAATATAAAACATGTATTTGAATAGCTTTGTGTATTCTGTTGCAGCCATTTGTAAAATAACTGCAGCCTGCTCGTAACCAGGCAGTTCACTGTACTACTTCACAGACATCTAGGCCTGCATCTCAACAACTGCCCTATTGCACAGCAGCAGTAGGAACATTAGGGAGTGCTCTTGCAGGAGAAGAAAATACAGAACAACCAAACTGCTTTGTGCTGGATCCCAAGTAAATTAGCAGTTGCTTAACAGTAAAGACAGTGTTCAGGGCAAAACCATTCAACATTGTGCCTGCCTGTGCTATGTTGAAACATCATGCTGTTACTAAAACCTTCTCTGCCAGGAAGCTAGCTGAGTGATTCTGAAAGAGCAATGAGACTATTATAACATGAATAACAGTATGGCAACATGTGGGTTATACAATAGCGACATTAAGAAATCTCTTGATAGAACTACAGCTTTACAGGTGAGATTTGCTGGGTATTACTGCAAAAGCCACACCAAAAGGTCTGTGCTGCAGAGGCAGAGCATAGGTTGGCTAGGTTGGATTTGCAAGAGGGACCATGGATAGATGCTGACACAATTTACCTTCACAATATTCCTCAGTGGCATAGTCCCATGGGAGAACCGATGAACAAATACTGTTTCAATCAACCTTTTGATGTAGTGGAAAGAATGGCAGATACATGCCAAGCTAGAAACAGCAAGACAAAAGCATTTAAGAGTGCTTAAAAAAACAAGTGTGGCAAGACATTTGGAATAAGACTACAATGCTAACAAGAAATACTTGCTCAGGCCTGAAAAAGGACTTACTTAACTACTGGATGCGGACTTGATGTAAACCTCTCATCCAGTCCATAGACAAAAGGCATGCGGAAATAAAACAGAAAATAGATGAACAATGGACCTGTATATTCTATCAAAAATACCTGCAAAAAGAGAGAAAATCATTAGACAGCTGAATTACATGATGATTTTGCTTTGGTTTCTTAGTGATAATGTAGTGGGATAAACCCCTCCACAGACCCAAGATGGCATTTAGAGAGGCAGGGACTGAACAGCAGGTTTGGGCTTAGGCTATGAAACTGGTAGACATGCATGTAAACATTTTGCAGTGCATTTGCCTCCATTGCATACAAACAGCTATTGCTAGTGCAGCTGACATAGCGTGAGCATGAAAAGATAGTAACAGCAGCCCAGAGATCATGATAAATATGCATGCATGTTACATTTACGCAGCTCTCACCCTCCTCTAGCCCTGAAAAATTATTGCTTTATTTTGGGTTAAAATGAAATCTGGTGAAGGATTTGTCTTGGAAAAGAGGAGCTTTGCTTCTAAGGAATTTATTTTGTTAAAACTGGAAACACAGATCGTAAGTGTTCACGGGTGACCCCGTCTGTATGAGCAGTTAGCACAGCCTGGGAAACAATCAATACATTATGTGTTCAAACAGTCTTTAATTTGAACACAAAGAGGAATAAAAAAAAGGAGAGAGGAAAGCAAAGAAGCTATTATCTAACTAGGTTTCATTTCAGATAGATGTGCATTTCTGAGGAGCATCACTTTAAAGTCAAGTTAACCTTGGGCCAAACATTAACAGTTGAATTATTCACACTTCTGCAGGTGAGGAAGGTAGGCCCATACCTCATTTATGGAGAAAGAAGGGAAATCAATTGCACTTCTGTCAATAAAAACCAAAACCAGAAACCAAACCCCAACCACTGTTTTCTAATGTATTACAGTTATTTTGACGCTCAGACAAGTTGTGTTATCAACTTCTGTACAAATCAGCATTTTCTCCAGTGAGGATCGGGTTTGATTGTAGATGACAAGTTTATCTTCTTTATTTTATAATACTGAAGTATTTCTTCCTTCACATTTGAAGTAGCTTGAAAGCCAGGGAGAGCAGAATGGAAAGGAATGATTATGGAATGGCAGAAGTTTGGTGTTAATCTGCGCTGTGATATTTTGGTATATATTAACGTACATGTGTCTTGGAATCTACGTGGCCATTAGAAGCTTTTGCCTGTCTTACTGTTGTGAAATAGCTGCCTGATTTATCAGCATTGCATGCAAAGTAATGATGTGAAGATTCAGTCTTGCAGAACATTTGACTTCCTTTATTTTCCCTCCTATGAATGCTGTCTTTGCTCTTTGTCATTAACACAAGGTTTTATTAATGTCTCATACCTAAGAAATGGCAAACATGCCTTTAAATTATGTGGTATTTTTTCCTTCTGTGCTGTTTCCTTAGAACTAGTGTAATATGTGCATCATGGGCCTTCTGAAGAACTGGAAGGGTCATTGGTCTCCTCACTGCATAAAGAAGTTGCCTGCCAAGCACAGGATTTGCATTTGAGCTAAGACAGTAAATATGCGAGGTCTTTGTGAATGGCTGCTAATGCTGCAGAAATTATCAGCTGTCACTCGCTTGCCACCAGCAGCCACACACAGACAGCTACTTACTGATCTTACTTTGTGAACTCCCTTCAGTTGCTGACATGTGAAGTTGTCACATGCCTTTCTTCAGGACAAACTTGTAGGAGTATAATCCTGATCTTTGTCAGAAGAGTTCTGCAGGCACCGTGAAGCAGATCCCCAAAAGCATTTAGGCGCCTAGTTCCTACTGATGTTGCAGTAGACATCTAAATTCATCTGAGAACCTGAAGCTTAGTTCAGCAGAGCCAGCCTACCCTGCAGCAAGTTTTCCCCTGCTGCTCTCCCAGGGAACTAGGCATTCAGAATATCCTCTTACTGCTTTCCCTGGTTAAATGAACTGAAGCAGTAAAGATTCATTGCCTGCATCCACTATCAGAGCAGGCATCATGCAGAAATATTGGAGACAAAAAACGATGTAAGGAAAAATTAACCATTAAAATGGCTCAGGCTTAAAGCATAGCTCACCGTAGTCCATCCTATCTGTGGTCCTAAATCTTTAAAGTATAAGGTAGCAGTTGTGCCAACAGGGAGGTTCTGCAGGATTTCCTCATCCCTCAGGGACTTTCCTTCTGAGAAGGAAAGAAGTAATTACATCAGTGAAATTCAAGTCAACTTTGGCAGTGTATTAACTTTAGATTGTGCTTTAACTTGTCTGTGGGAGTCTTTGAGGTGATGTGGCTTTATTGGAATCTCAATAAACAAACTGAGGATGTTTATACTTAATTACCATTTATCCCTGTAATCACATAAAACCCTGGATCCTCTAGGTCAGTTAGGAGAATTTTTGGTCCTGTATGCCTGCCTAGTCTAGTAGACTTGCTTCATTACTGCTACAGCAGAATTTGCTGATGGGTCACTGACCTTCACCATCGGTCACTGACCTCCTTGGTAGCTGCACCTCCATCTCTTTCATCTCTTATCATTGCTCACTGTCAAACAAACAGAAGCTAGGATAATCTGAGATAGGAAGGCTTTCCTACAGGTTTTCAATGTTTCCTTTTCTTGCCAACCAACCAGCTAGGAGGTGATTCCACAGCACTTTAGCTCATTCTCAAGTTTCTAATGCCTAGATTTGGGGGAATCTCCAGAAAGCCTGGATTTTCTCATTGCAAGTCTCATAACGTAAGTCCATGGAGGAACCTGGTAAGGTAGATCTTTGAAGAAGGGAATAAGATACTCATAGGCCTGTTTCCATGGACAGATCCTACTAATTCTCACCAGTATACTTGTAAGGAACTGTTTAAATAAAATTACACTTAATGGAAGTAAAAGAATTTGCCACATTTTATATTGAAAGCTAAGATGAATTAGCACAGCTTGGTAATTAGACTTTCTTTGTGTACCCAGGCCATGTACTAAGAAGCTTCTAGTAGCAATACCTACTACTGCATTAACAAAGCCAGCCAGCTGGCATCAGCTTTGTCAGCAAATCCTACATGTGTTTTGAATTAGCTTACCTCAAAAGAACTGTCATTCCTGCCTGAGAGCAGAGGATTATGTGAATTGAGAGCTCTAACTCATAGCCCTTTTTAGTGCTCTCAGCTGAGCATCGCTGTGGGGATCATTTCACTGCAGCTAAGGGAAATTGGTGTCACGATTCTGTGCTGCCTGTCTTGAGAACAGAAGTGCTCAGTAGTTAGAAAGTGCATTGGAATGATGTGCAGAGTCCTGAGTTAATTACCAAGCACCAGGCACATGGGTGGAAATATGTTCAATACTTTAAAAGTACTCAATTTATTCTGGGTTCTCTTCAGCCTTTGTAGTGCTAATTAACATAGCTGGAAACTCATTCCTAAGAGCTAATACCCATGCAAAGTACACCTTTTGTGCCAGGCCCCTGCTCAGAGCTTTGTTCCTCACAAGTACTTACTTGGATCAAGTTTTATAGACTGCCTTGCTGGATACCACCGAGGATCTGTAAGACCATACAGAATTGTGTGATACATGATGTTTTAGATCATCCAATACTATAATGAGTGCAACACAACAAGAGAAGATTTAGTTGAAATCTGTAGGGGTATTTATTCAATACGAATAGCTGTGAGAAATTCTGCAGCAGAAAAAATACAAAGGTGTACCAGGATAAAAAAACTACACTGAAATATCCCTGTGACCACATTCATATGCAGGTTACTCAGCATTATGTGTGTGCACATCACATGTTTCAAATGACATCATTTTCTCCTATTTATATGCTGTGTATTCTGTTGTGATGCAAACTGCTGCAAAAGTTATACTCACATAATTTATGGAACATCAATCTGATTTCCCTAATTGTGGCATTTGGTTCCACCTAGGCAATAAAAAAAAAATGGTATATGTGAGATGCATTCTTTGATAGACAATAACTAGGTCTGAGAGTATTCAAGCAGAAATGTTACTCAAACAGTGTGACAGCATAACTTTTTAACAGATGGCTGCATTGGTATGGGTGGTTCAAGGTACTTCTTGCAGGAAAAAGGGAGGATAATTTGTGACATCTGCTTCAGAGGCAGCTTCTGTAGCAATGGTCAAGGGTTACTACAACAGCATTGACACTTTGGTGGCTTATGAGTGAGTAAAACACAACTGGCACAATCTCACTGAAGCAGCTGAACTCGTCCTCTTTGCCCAAAGGCTCCTTCTGGAAAAGGGTTAAAGGAGTCTATAATCAGTATGAAGTGTGTATAATCGTTGCCTCTTTATCAGCCAAAGGAAGGCTATCAGGAAATTAGATACCCTTCATAAACACTAAGTTTACTTAAGAAAAGTTATTAGTTTTTAAATAGTCACCTAGCCTTTTAAACAGGTTTTGGGTTTACCTTATCTAGGAAGCATAGCTGTTCCTTTGTCTTCCAGTCAAGGATTTCCACCTGATAGGACACAAAATTAGAATTACTAATGATCAGATGAATAATCTCTAAACTCTCACTTGCTTCCTGAATTCACAATCGTTGCTCAGGGTGAGACACCATATTTCTCAGATGTGTGGACACTTCTGGTGTGCTCAAGAGACCGCTTTAATCATAGCCAGGTTCTCAAAGCTCACAACTTGCAAATAAAAGAGCCTTTTTGCTAAATAAATTGTATTCAGAAGCAGAAGTAGCTAACTTATTGATCAAAACACACTGATCTGGGGTATTATGCTACAGCAAGAGGAGCAACTATGGGGCAGAGACAGGAATTCACAAGAATCACTAAGGAACACGATGTTTATGATTTGTAAAAGTAGAAAGAGAGTTGGGAGGAGCAAGTGCATATATATGCCTGTAAGCAATATTCAGAGTACATACATATTGAAGATTAATGTGCATTGTTTCCAGAATATTTTAATTGTAAAGAGATTGAAAAATCTTAGTGGACATAGTGAACAAATGCAGCTAAAGATCTGGACTTCACAGGTCCTTAAGAGGCTGTTGTAGGAATATTCGGCATTACTCTTGCTTCTCAGATCACCTGTGTTAGTAGCTACATTTTAGCGTTTTACACTCCAAGCCATGGTTTAGCTACAGCTCTGAAAAGGAAAGAGCACTTTATTTCTGTGATCAAATGGCACTTTGGCAAAAGGTCATGATTTTAATCAACAGCCAAGCAGAAAAGGTCCGAGATGTGTTAAAGCCCAGTTGCAGCAGGATAGCAAAACCTGAAATACAGAAGTGGTGCTTTGATTTCATTTGTTCTCATCAAACACTGTAAAGGAACTTTGTGGTAGAGCTAAGAATGAAAGTCCAGAGTTTATCTGTCACACTAAGTGACTGGGACTGTCATTACTTTGTACTGAAAGAGTTTGTTGTTTGGATTTGTGGGGGTTTTTAAAATAAACATCTAGCATGAATTACATTTGGTATTAACTGGCCAAGAAGATGGATTAACATTAGACTTTAAATATGATTCCTTACTAAAAATAGGAGTCACAGTCCAGTATCTTTTTAATAGGGTTGCTTTGAAGAGATCAGTTGGTTAGAGTATCTTATTTCTGTGTTTTACTTGTCCCAAATTGTTCTTTCTCTATTGGTGCAGCACTTCAGCCAGAACTATAAGATCTGATCTCCACAAGGGATACCAATGCAGTGATATTTTCTACCTGTCCATTGTAAACTCTTAAGTGTGACATCAAGGGAGGTAAGCATTTTTCCTCCTTTGGGATAAGTAATGAATATGTGATAGATTATTGGGATATTATGTGTTTTCCCTTCATTTTTTGTATTTGAAATAACCCAAATTTCAAGTTTTAATGTCCCTGTGGATCATCTCCATGGGAAAGCAAATGAAGTGAACTCCCTTCCCAGAGGGTGGCTCTTGAAACATAGCATTTTGACTGTTGCAGTCCACAGAACAAGTACTGTGGGGGTTGTAAAACATTTTTTGTTCCTTCTGATGCCGAGTTCCTATGAGGAACTTCTGGCGTATCTCAAAACTCTTGTGTCAGTGAATACCATTGGGCTGCCCTACAGATTGCAGCAGTACCCACAGTTTTAGCAGTCCCCTTCCCATTCCATACCCACTCCCAGCATACATATTTTGGATCAGGATTCCCCAGGGGTAGTTTTTGGTCTTCAGTGGCTGTATTACAGAAACCTCCTCCAGGCCAATTACAGATTGGTTTTGGATGTCTTTCTGCCACTCATTCTCTTTTAGTAGGGTTATTCTCATTATGCACAATGGTCCGACTGAAAATCATGGAGCATTTTCTTTTGCTCTGCAGTTTGCATGAGAGTGGCTGTGCAGAAAATTAGGTACTTCTGTGAACCTCTGGAATTAGCGTGGAAAACAAATTACCCAAGATGCTCTATACTGATTTTGGTTCTATTCTACCACGTCTCTTTGAACTGGCAAACTGACATACCTGCCTGTACTCGCCCATTTCTTCAAATATTTAAAGGAAGTCTATAAAGATAATGAATCCAGACTCTTCTTGAAGGTGCACAGTGATAATGTGCCTACAAGGGGCCTACAAGAAAACTGAAGAGGGACTTTTTACAAGGGCCTGTAGTGACAGGACAAGGGGAATGGCTTTAACCTGCCAGAGGGGAGCCTGAGATGAGCTCTTGGGCAGAAGTTCTTCCCTGCGAGGGTGCTGAGGTGCTGGCACAGGGTGCCCAGAGAAGCTGTGGCTGCCCCATCCCTGGCAGTGTTCAAGGCCAGGTTGGACACAGGGGCTTGGAGCAACCTGTCTAGTGGAAGGTGTCCCTGTCTGTGGCAGGGGGTTGGGACTGGATGAGCTTAAGGTCCCTTCCAATGCAAACCATTGTACGATAATGGTGAGAAGCAACAGACACCAGTTGCAATAAGGGAAAGTCCAATCAGATATACAAGGAAAATTTTTCACCATGATCTTGGCCAAACATTGGAAAAATATTGCCTAGAGAGGCTGTGGAATCTCCATCCTTGGAGGTATTTTAAATTGGACTGGACAAGACGCAGTGCCATTTGATCTAGTTGTATCTGCTTTGAGCAGGAATTGGACTACATGACTTCAAGAAGTCCCTTGCAACCTAAATTATCCAATGTTCCTATTTTTATTTTTCCTTTTTTTGGACACCCATTCCTGAACTTCAGGCATTTCAATTACTTTCAGTTACTTTCAAGATCTAAGCAAATATCAACCTTTCTTTCCCTTTTCAGAAAGATGGAACAACTTCAGATTCCACTCCAGTCCATAGAAAGCAATGACAGATTGAAAACAAGGTGACCATTTATTCTAATTTCACACCTCTTAGCTGTATCAGAACATCCCCCAGAGTTTAGATGTTCCCTGCTTAAGGGACAGAGATTACATCTTTTCTGATATCAAGAAATGTTATCTTTTCTGAACATAATGGCCAACCACATGAACCCAGGTGGCACTGAACACAGTGTTTCCAGTCTTCAGGCACAGCACCAAGTCAGTTAATGTGTTGGTTGGCAACAGTTTTTAGATACCCAGCAATCTGTTCTTGGAACACTTACTGATGGGTATTATCTCTTTCAAACAGAAATGGTTTGGCTCAGAGAACTTGAATTTCTATGTGTTTTCACAGCATTTAGCACATTTAGACACTGACTGTTGGCTTGCACTAGTGCAGGATGACTTACAGTCCACTTCTTGTGTGAATTTTTAAAGGTATTTTAAATTACAGCTTCTCTAAAACTACATTGAGTAGAACTTAATCGGTAATAGGCACATTTGTGCAAGGATAGCTATGTTAAAACTCTTTTATAAGTAACTATAAATATGTATCTCCAATGTTAAGATGACAAATCTATTGTATAAGGATTAAAGATTGATAGTGGCTTTCAAAACAGAAAGAATCTTAATTCTTATTGCTTAGAAAAGCTGGAGGGCAAAGGATATTATCAATACAGGATATAAGCAGAGAAAAGTACCTTCAGCAGTTAAAATTTAATTCAGAAAACAAAAGGGGGAAAAGTTTACTCATGGGGGAAACACAGTTGAGCAAAGAGCATTTAAAAATGAATTTTTAGGATGCAGTGTCCCTGCAGTAGAATTACAAAAAACTAGAGTTGATCAAATTCCTGTTTAAATAGTTTAAAGCCATATCAAGTGCTTAAGGATCAGCAGATCTTCAGAAATTATATGATAACTATTATGGCAACACTGACACATTTATCATGTCTTGAAAGTTGTATTTGCAGCCATTTGTACTCAGCAGATTGAGTAAACTGCAGCTGAGATGTTGTGAGACTGACATAAGCATTTATTGTATTGATTTCTTTCTAAATCACTCAGTAAAAAAGCCCTGCTTATTTTACAGTGGAGGAACTAATCAGCCTGAGAAAGAGTTATGCAGAATTCATTCTGTCTCAGCTATTAGAGTGCTTACACAAGTCAGGTGCCTTGAGTTTAACACTTAAAAAAATCCAGTGGTTGCCCAGTCCTAACTACCTTTTTCTTACCTTTTTATTTTCCTATGGAATTAGCCATTTTTTCTGTCTCCTGAGACTTTTCTGGTAGATTGTTTTGTTCCTGAAGAAAGGAAGCATGCCTTAGTGTGATCTCACACAAGGGCATATCAGGAATAACTTCCTTGAAGTCAATATTGTTAAGCCAAAGGGCCTTTTAAACCAGCGTAAACTTGTTGCATGCAGAGTGTCCTGAGGCGGGGAATTCCATGCTGCGTGAGGAATCCCAAAGCAGAACCAAAGGCAAATGTTTAACCACGAATCGAAATGTCACCATCTTACCTGTGGAGGGCTATACCTTATTCTGTAAGTAGTCCAACTAAGTAGAGCCTTACCTCTCTGGAGCAATTAGCTCACATTTCAAGAGACTAAAACTTTATTACATTGTTTGACTGTGTATAAAGAGAAAGGATACAGTGACACCCATACTGAGAAGGTTTTATGCAATTAAATTTCACTTTTGTAGAATTTGGATGTCTAACATTTACAGGTTCACAAGATTTACACTAGGTGCTTACTCCTCAGCTTCCTAAATTCTGTGCCTATGCAAAACAAGGAGCACCACTGTATGAACTGTGCTGAAACTCATGGTACATTTTTAGTTCTTTCACCTGTTTCAGATCCGTTAGTTAGGCATGCTTGCATCTAAATCCTGGAGGACCTTGATCCAGTAAGCATCCTTATCCCAAGCTCAGCACAATGCACAGCATTTAGAGTATTTTTGAATGAAACTAAACTTTTAGCAAAGGAGATGATCTACTTCTTCATGCTGTGTAGATAATGGTCAGACACATTGCCAGGAAGTGGCATTCTGCCATTCCCCACTCTGCCCATAGCTGGCTTGAGCCACCATCAAGGAATAAAGGATTCAAGAGAGACCAAAAAGTACAGGTAGGAAAGGACTGGAGTGTATTCCAGTGAAAAGCACAGTCTCCTAACAAAGAGAAATTCTGAATTCCTGTCTCTGGGCTGCTTCAAGCACTGCTCCTTTTCATTGTAATTCTGTTCAGCATTTACCTACAGTGGATGCCATTTGGGATACCACACAGTGAAGGGATAGAGTTGATGTAAACTTGGATACCTTAACAATATTGTCCAATCTGCTCTTGCAGCTGGGTGCCTAACCTGAAGGCATGGCAAACCACAAGCTGTCTTGTGGACCTGGACCAGGACTGTAACAGACGTAGAGCTACAGATGGTCATCCTTCAGAAAAACAAATCCATTTATATAATTGGCAGGACATAAAAGGAGTCAGTGTAAGAACTGTCAGGAAGGAAAAGGAGGGTGTGTTCCCTCAAAGTGGGAGGCTGGTTTATTTCTGACAAAAGAAAGATCTGTTAGAGGTTTGTGATTTCACAGTGAATTCTGGCTCTTGAAAGCCTATGAAAGGTTTCCAGCTTTTACTAGCATGACATCTTCCAGGAGGATACACAAGATGGGAAAGGAACCTGCACCAGTGAATACTGACTCAGTGGGCATTTACTTACACTGGCTAACAGAGAGCTGCACATTGCCAATTTCCCAGGCATACTGAAGAGTCACATCATTCACTGAGTATCACTGTCACTATGCAGCAGGCTGGATTAACTCCATCTGAGAACCTCAGCCAGCTTTGACTCAACACTAAGTAGACATCCAAGTTTTTCAACACCACTGTGTAGCCTTTTCCATGTTCAAGAGAATGTTTGTTGCCTCAGGGCTTTAGTTTATGGTGATAATATTTAGGTAGAAGAGATTTATAAATTCTTAGTGAAATCATAATTATTTCTTTGCACTGTGATTTGCAATGTTTAACTTCAGTATCTGTAGTTCCATTACTACTGTTCATGGATCATTTGGTGTATAGATGACAAAAATGTATATCTAGTGTATGCTTTTGACATGGAATTGAAGAGAATGAAGAGAGAGAGATATTTTTTCCCCCCTTCTTAATTTTTCCCATTAAGGATGGGTCTGCTGTTTTTTACAGGGCAGGAAGACTGGAAGCCCTAGGAAGTTTGGACCTTACACTGACAGGTGAACTTACAAGATTTGTATTAATCTGTTAAAATATACTTCAGAGAAGTCCATTATTTTTTCTAAAATAGGACTTGATTTTAACCATAGCCTTCAAATTCTGATTACTCCCTCCCAAGTAATGTTTTACTAGCATATTTTCCTATGCAAAACTGGGTTTCTCTCTCAAGCTCCATAGAGAAAAAAGGACAAATTGCTGTCTTTTAAGTAAAGCAGCACAACTGAGTGTTAGAATGTGTTGGTAAGTGTGTGGAGAAGTGGTGAAGGAAGAGAAAGGGAGAATATTTTTCCCTATCATCTCATCTCTTTCTGTGATAATAATCTATGTGTTACTTGTGAGAACAGAGCAAATGTCTCTGAATTGGAGCAAAAATTCCACCAGTGTCCTTTTAAATGATCATTCAAATATCTCTCGTGTGGCCTTGTCTTGTTCAGGCAGCTCTTGGAGGATACAGACTCTTAAACTCATCTGCAGTCCTGCTTTTGGCACTTGCTCTCATGCTCTTAGTCGATGAGGCTCTAGACAGCAAAGCTCTGAGTGGGAGAAGGCTTTGTAACAGGAGCTGTGACATCTCAGCAATGTCAGCTTGGCAGCAGGCACCCCCTGCCTGGCATCCAGAGAGTTTTCATGGCAGGCAGAAGGGGGGAAACTTTAAATGCCAGGAAGGGAGGGCAGTACATTATTGCTTTTAGACTGTACTGCACATGTCAGTTCAGTCTATCCTCAAGGAGGGAAGGCTCCAAAACACTTTTGGCTATCACTGCTCAAAAAAGGCACTTCACATCCAGACCAGTTAAGGAAGCAAAAGTACAACTGCGGCTCTTACGCCACTGATTTTCTACAGTATGAGTGCATTTGTTCAAGTATCTTTCCCCCAGGAAGTCAGAGCATCATACCATTTTCTTTACATGAAATGCTTTTGCAGACCTGGACCTGTCAAGCAGAAAGAAAAAGTAGGATTCATCAGCCTAACTTCAGAGCTCTCTCCACTACAGACATTTACATCCAAGCATGGCACATAGACATCCTTTGTATGGAAAGAAGAAAAGCAGGCGCTTTTAGGATAAACTGTATCATAAGCTCTGAAGCATAGGTGAAATAGGTCAGAAGAGCTCTAATCAATTTGGAGAAATGAGCACTCCTAGAGAATATTAGTTATCTAGATACAGGTCTCTACCATAAATCTCTACATTTGTGGAGGTGAATCTCCTCAAATTCTAAGGTGCAGTACTTTCAGGTATGCAAGTATTTCTTTAAACTGTAGTTGTTCTTCCTAAGCTTTTCCTATGTGATTAAGTGATAAAAAACCTGAGGTGAAATTAGAACCATACCAATACTTGAAGTAGACAAGACCTAATCTGGCATTATTACAGAATAAGAAATGTAGAGGCAGTCAGGGAAACATAAGTCTGGGAAGGAGTACAGGCATGTGGCTTTGCACACTGGTTCTGCCACAGACATGAGCAGAGGGAAATCACTCAGACACTCTGGGTTTTCTTGCTGTCCATCCATTACACCCAGCATTACACCCAGCTGAATTAGGTGGTTGCTCTTAATTCTTGGTTGTTTCAACACAGCTAATTCAAAATAAGGGGTTAAAAGTACTTCCAAAGCTGAATGTGCCTTTCACTGGCTTCTTAGTAGTCACTGTAATACCATGTTGCCTATTTTTTAAGTGTTTTTGTCTTAGCTGCACTGAGAAAGACTCCGATAAAGAAAAGGAAGGGAATTAACAGCCAGTGGACACTCACAATCAGCCTGATGTTCTTGCCCATCTTTTTGCAGGTCTGTTCACTAGAGAGTAATTTTATCCGTGCATGCTATGTTCTCAGGAACCTGTGAAATTGATTGTGTACTAAGTGTGATCAAATGCACAAACTCAACAAAACAGGAAGAAACATTCCACCAGTGAACCTCTGCTAAACTTGGAACAGTCGTATCCTAAACAATTCAGTCAGCCACAGTTTGGTGATCGCAAAGTGCCTCGTGATTCCTATAAGGAAGTGCCATTGAATAGCAATAAAGGGTAAATGGTTTAAAGATATATGGGGGAAAGTTCAGAATGCTACAGTGCCTCAGACAGGGAATGTTAACATTTGTAACACCTACAGAGATTGGGAGAGGTGGGGACACTTACCACCTCTCTTTTGAAAGCTCAGTTTTGAATGCACAGTGGGGAAATGCAAGTCAGAATTCAAAACCAATTAATTTGTAACAGAAAGGAACTCTGTGGGGAGATCAGTGCAGAGAGTGATACACAACAGCACTGCTCAGAGCTCCCTAAGACTTTGTGCCTAGTAAGATGGAGTAGATCACTCCGCTTTCATGTGTTGCCACATCTGTAAAGTCAAGTGACAATAATGATGTCTGTGCTTTTGATGTCTTCCGGTAACCAGTGCTATTTAGAAGTTCAGGCAGAAGAGCAAACCTGCCGAGCAGACAACGACCAAAGACATTCAGAAGGGTAGTACACATATGCCTGCTCCTCCATTTGGATCTCCCAAGAGCCTGGGACACTGGTAGATATGCAGGAGGCAGTGAAAAGCTTGGTTGCTTTTCCTTTTAGGAACCAGGGAAGCCAACACTGCAGAGGAAAAGGCAGGTTGTAGGTCCCTACCTTGCACTCACAAGAGCCAGAGCCAGCTTATTTTGCTAAATTGTTTGTCATTTCCAGAACACTTTTATACTATTTCTATTCCCCGGTGTTGGACACTGTTAAGATTTGGCTGGACAGGGTGCTGGGACATCTAGTCTAGGTCATACTTTGCCTAGAAAGGTTGGAGCAGATGATCCCTAAGGTCCCTTCCAACCTAGGATTCTGTGAGAGCTTTGAAAAGCAAAATCAGAACTTTTAGGCCATGGTAAGTAATAGAGGAGCAGCCACTTTTCAGGTGGTTTTGAACTCTGTGAATGTTATCATGGTTTGGATTGTGCCCGGGGGAAGGAGGTGCGTTCGTTTTTAGGCAAGTCGTGCTGCAGAAACTGGAGCGTGAGCCTGCAGAAACAGGCTGCCGTTTAGCTTGTACCGACCTGTTTCTGCAACGCAAGCCACTCTGAAGCATTTTTGTGTTCTCCAGCCTCACTAATTCTAGCAGAGAGTCGGTGTGGCTATTTATATAAGTTGGTGAGATCCATTACACCTCACACTCACCAGTGCACGTTACTCTGCACTCTGTACACAAGGACCTGACTGTACTGAACTCCGTCTGGCGATTTATGGTTTCCCACGCAAGACTCGAACGCACCGGGCGGCGGGGTCTTCCCAGAAGTTGGGGACAGAAGGTGCCGAGAACATTCCTCGCTCTCGCTCTTTCCCTACGGCCGGGATGCGCTGCCAGACCCATCCCGGCAGCCTGATCACGGCTCCGGAGAATCCCCGGGAAGCCCAGAGCCATTGATCCTGCGCCTCCGCGGACTCCCCCTCTCTCTTCTCTCTCCGGGGCCACGTCCGAGGACCACCGGGGCCGCGGGGAGGAGGAGCGGCGAGGGGAGAGTGCCAGGGAAAGGCAAGGACAGGGTGGGCTGGAGCCCCTTCTCCCCAAGGAGCCCCATTCCGAGCGGCGTAAGCCCCCCCTACCGGTTCCCTCCGCTCGGGGCCAGGGGCTGGCACTTGGCTGGGCAGATCCTGGAGCGGATGGCTCCGGTTCCCGGGTGCTCCAATGCAGATGGAGGGGGAAAAGAGAGGAGCCCGCCGGGACACGGCGCAGCCCCGTCTGCCGACGGCAGGATGCTGCGGGGCCCAGCCCGGGCTCGCCCCGTCCGCCCCCCCGGCACGGCCCGCACCCACCTCGAAGAAGCCGGCTCTGGTGCCCATCCTGCGGGCCGCCTCCGGCCGCCTCCCGCCGCGGCACCGGCCCCGGGCACCACGCTGCGGCCAATCAGGCGGCGCCCGGACCCCCCGCCCCGCCCGGGTCCATGCTGCGGGGCCCCGGCGGCTCCGTGCACTGCCCGCACGGCTGGGAGAGGAGAGCGATGCTCACCGACCGCCTGGCGCGTCGGTTCTGTGGCCTGTCTGTCAAGGGGGGAGGGTTATTTTGCTTTGAACGTTGCAGAATTGCTACAGGAAATCAATCGTGTTTCAGGTTTTTTTTTTGCAGCTCTGAAGTAGCTTCATGAGATAACCTGCACTAGAAGCATCCTCCTTTCTTCCTCTGGTAGTTTACATTGTGTTTCAGGGGTGATCGGACTGACAACAGAACTCTGCTGAGATCCCTTCTTCTCCTGTGATATGTTCCTGCCGCCGCTGAGAATTAAATGCATAGCATAAAGCAGTACAGACGCTGGTGCTGCTTTTCCTCCGCCCAGTCTTCCTTACGTGATATCCTTTTTCAAGAGCTAGGGTAATTAAATATCGGCAAATTCTACGCTGCTCTAAAGGAACATTGGTTTTTCACTGCCATAGATTTCCATTAAAGACACATGCTGTGTGCTGTTTGAAAACCTTCAGCAATCCCTAAATTTAACCTGCTTCCATGGAATCCTAACTATCAAGGTTACTTAAATGGAATATCAAAAAATAAGTTTCACCTAAAGAAAAGGCCTCTGCTGGAAAGCTGGAGGGCCAATCAAGAGCACATGACAGGACAGGATTCACTACTAGTGTAAATATGGGCAAGCCTAGGAGGTGTATGGAGAGGTGTACGCGCCTTCTCGAGATGACCAAGAGTCTGAATGGTCAAACTTTGGGCCAGGTTGGACCTTTTGGGGTTTTATGTCAAAGGAAACAAAATTACTGCTTTTCCATCAGCTGACAGTTTTCTCTCTCAGTGTGTGTCACTCCCAGATGCTCTGTGTTCACACAGCACGGAAAACATTTCAAACACATGAAAGTTGTCCAATATGGAAAAGTAATCAGAAGGCAAATGTAAAGAACAATTAAACTAACCTTCTGTACCCAAAAGCGATCAGGCAGTGCTTCAGGCTGACAGAAGTTATGCAAATTGGTTCCCTGTGTTAGCACAACGTGTAGCCTGGGGAAGGAAATCTGTTAGAAACACAACTCACATCGCTGTGCCGACAGCACAACTAGTTTGCGGCTAACTGTTCCCCTTAACTGGAGTTAACACCAACCACCACTACCCCAAATCTCCAATACAGAAGGAATTTAAGGTTCATCGTGTGGCCTCCCAGAAGCTGCCTGCTCTTAGAAACACCCCCAAGTCATAATCCTTTGTTTCCCTTGATGTGTCTGCAATGAGATCGGCTAGCGTAAAACTGGAGTTAGGTTTAGAGGTAAGTTTTAAGTGCCATCAAATATAGACATAACCCAACCATGTAAGTGCTTGCTTTCCCTTTGGGCCACTTAGGGTCTACCAACGACTGTCTGTCACCTAAAAGCATCATGGCTACAGTCCGCATGGTTTTGCTAGCACGACCAGGCCTGCAGGGCTGCTGAGGAGTGACGTTTCTACAGTGATACGATGGTCCCACCAGTGACGGAGGCCCCGCCGCAGGCAAGGAGCAGGGCAGGCGGCTCAGGGTGCAGCAGCGGAACCAGTGGGTGGTACCAGCAGAGATGTGTGCCAGGGATCAGATAGACAGAGGGACAGACAAACAGATGTGTGGACAGACAGATGTACGAACAGACAGATGCACGGACAGACAAATGCACGGACAGACAGACGTACGGACGGACAGACGTACGGACAGACAGATGCACGGACAGGCAGATGCACGGACAGACAGATGCACGGACGGACAGATGTACGGACAGACAGACGCACGGACAGACAGATGTACGGACAGACAGACGCACGGACAGGCAGATGCACGGACAGGCAGATGTATGGACAGGCAGATGCACGGACAGGCAGATGCAGGGACAGACAGATGCACGGACAGGCAGATGCAGGGACAGACAGATGCACGGACAGACAGATGCACGGACAGGCAGATGCAGGGACAGACAGATGCACGGACAGGCAGATGCAGGGACAGACAGATGCACGGACAGGCAGATGTACGGACAGGCAGATGTACGCACAGGCAGATGCAGGGACAGGCAGATGCACGGACAGACAGATGCACGGACAGACAGATGTACGGACACGCAGATGCAGGGACAGACAGATGCACAGACAGGCAGATGTACGCACAGGCAGATGCACGGACAGACAGATGCACGGACAGACAGATGTACGGACAGACAGATGCAGGGACAGGCAGATGTACGCACAGGCAGATGCAGGGACAGGCAGATGCACGGACAGGCAGATGCACGGACAGACAGATGCACGGACAGGCAGATGTACGCACAGGCAGATGCACGGACAGACAGATGCACGGACAGACAGATGTACGCACAGGCAGATGCAGGGACAGGCAGATGCACGGACAGACAGATGTACGGACAGACAGATGCACGGACAGGCAGATGCAGGGACAGACAGATGTACGGACAGGCAGATGCACTGATAGAGGGACCCCGCTCAGCGGCCGCCACAGCCCGCCCGCGGCCCCGCCTCCCGCCAATCCGCCCGGTAACATCGCCCCGCCCCTCCCGTCAAGCCCCGCCCCTCCCTGCCGGCGTGCTGCGCCGCAGCCGGCGCCTAGGGGGCGCTGGGCGGCGCGGCGGGAGCAGGCGCCTGTTTCGGGACCGGGAGGCGGAGCCGTGTGTCGGTGCTGTGAGGCGGGGCAGTGCGGAGGGACCGTGTGGAGGAACCGTAAGGCGGGGCGAGGCGAGGCGGCGCGGCGGGACAGCGAGGCCGGGCGAGGAAGGTTTTTGCGTCGCGGCCGTGAGGCATAGCCGTGTGGCTGGGCGCGACGGGGCCGTGTAGAGGTGCCGTGAGGCGGGGCGCTGTGCCGGGCTGTCGCGCTGCTTCCTGCGCTGGGCCCGCCCTGCCGCCCATTGTGCTCGTGCCATGTGACCGGGGACGGTTACAAAGCATCCCCCCCCCCCCGCCGGTATTTGTGCTGAGTCACGGCGCGGTGCTGCCCGGTCCGGCGGCGAGCGGAGCGGAGCGGGGCCGCCGCTGTAGCTGTGCCCGGCTTCCCGATGGGGACGGACGGCGCTCGCGCCCTGCTGGAGCGGGCGGGCACCCTCACGCTGCAGACTGGCAATCTCCTCAACTGGGGCTGCCTGCGCAAGAAGTGCCCGGCCACCCCCGGCGAGGAGGTGAGCGCGGCGGGCCCAGGCCTCCCCGCGAGGCGCCACAGCGGGTCGGGCTCTGGGCAAGCTCCGGGTTCGTTCTTGTGAAGTCGGTTGGCGTGGCCCGGGGTCCGCCATGGAAGGGAAGAGCTCCCCCCGGAATCGCGGCTCTTGAGGCGCTGTGGGGCAGAGCAAGGATCAAACTGCGCTCGGAAATGAGGAGTTAAACCGCTGTCCCAGTACTGTCCGTAACGGCAAAGGAGAGACCCGAGACTTCTGTATAGCAAGAGGAAGATAGGAATAGATAGGAGCTTGCATTACAAATGATCAGAGTCGCTTTTTCTAACCTGAAATTCCTTTTAAGGTCTCGGGAACATCAGTCGTTGTTGTCTTCTTAAAAGAGTACTGCGGCCGTTCTGTGTTAAAAAGTTAAAAGGACTTTTAAATTATCACTTTCAAACTGTTACCTTCAGCTGTATGTGTCAAAACTTAATCATCCTGATAAAATGCCTGGAGATCCTGCAGCCATGAACTTCAGAGCTGGTGTATTTGCTGTCTCGTCATGACACAGCCCTTTGAAAACAGGCATTTAACAGCTAATCAGAAGAACTGTGGTTTTGGTGGGTTATCACTATGTAGTGTCATTGTTGATAGTCTAGAAGTTGATTTATTGCATATTAATCTTGCACAAACGGTAAGAAAGGTGATTGGAAGGGTGATGTAATGACAAGGAAGAATTCATCATACTTTAATATAGCTGTTGTGCAGTAATAACATTTTTATTTAGCTTGGCTGCTTATTATAACGTGTGAGCTGTGTAAAATAGGGCTAGATCCTGCACCAGAGAGGTGGCTGTATCCTAGTGGGCACACCTGTGTGTGTATTTAGCGACCTGTAGGGTCGCTAAATAAAGAGTGGCCACTGCATAACTGATCAGTAAAGTATTCAAATGAACTTGTTTACAGGGAAACCTGCGCTTAAACATAAGGCTGCCTGCTTTCCAGAATTGCTGGGGTTCTAAAAGCAAACAATTGGTGTTAATGATCAGAACTAAATTGGCTTTTAACGCTTCTGGTTGGTGTAGGTGATATGTGTATAACTGTCAGTGTCAGAATGTAAGCTAATATTTTGCAGACTATGAACCCTAACGTTGGAAGACTGGGGATGTAGCTGTATCTGGAAAAGCTGTCCAAAGCCGTCAGAGATGGTATTGAGGGCAAGGCACTCCTGTGCTTTGGAGGCAAGAGGCTGGTCCATGCTAACTGCAATAGAAATATCAAGTGTGACAGTTGCAAAGTAGCAGTATATTTAATGTACATGTGTAACACTGCCTCCCTCAGAAAGGAAAAAGATAATGTTAAAAGTTGCATCAAAATAGGCTGAAAATTTCCAGCATTGTGGATTTACTAGGGGGAGTAAATTCTTGCTGTTAGACTTAGTTTGGTTGTTTGTTTTTTTTTTTTCACGCTGTTTTAAATGACTGGGAAAGAATGTGCAGATTTTGTGCTTACGAAGTAGTATTACTGTATTATTTCTTAAACTTTGTGATCTCCTGGGATTTTGGCATTTTGGGGGATGGGGTGTGTTTGGCTTCTAGCTTGTGTAAGGTATTAAGAACCCTCTGAATTCATGTTAGGTGTCTCAGGAAATTGTTATTTAATAGTATAAAAACTAGGTGTTTACACAGTTATAAAATGTATTGCTAAAAGTGAAGTGAAGCAGCAGCTCATGAAAGTGCGCCTACCTGTGGCAGACAGCAGACCTGACAGTACATGTGCTCAGCCTGCAGGATAACAACTCCCAAGATGTATCAGAGGAAAGGTAGAGCATCAATACAGCTGAAGCACTGCTATAATACACAGTTAATTAGCTGGCTTAATAGTAACGCCTTACTAGGTTCAAGAAAATTCATGATCAACTTGCCTAGGATTTTGATTTTGTATCTCTTGATGCAGGAAAATACAAGTGTGGGGTGGGGTCTGAAGGTTCCCCTTCGTTAATGAGGGATTTAAACACAGTGGTTTGGCAGAGTGGAATAGGTAGCTCTTGGTTGCTTAGCATTGTTCTTTGCTTTAAAGATGGCATTGGTCTGAGAAATAAATTCAGTACAGTGCTTGTATTACTGCTAAAACTCTTTGTGAAAGAGGAGAGGAAAACAAGTAAACTAGTTTGAACAAGTTTCACATGGAAGCTATGCAGGAAGAATCTTCTGTGGTTGGAGGAATGGTGTCTTTAGTTCACCTGTGCAGTCTGTCTCACATGCCTATGAATCATTGTGTTTCTGTGCAGCTGTAACATGAAGCTTCTTTTCAACACGAACAAATATTTTGTAGGTGCGGGACTGCATTCAGAAAACGCTGACCGAATGGAGCTCAAAGGTTGGACAGGACCTAAATCAGGTAGGAGTGGTGGTATGCATGTTTTGTTACTGGTTCTTGAGTGATGGTGGCATCAGCTGCACGTTGCTGCATTCCACGTGAGTGTGGAGAGGCAGTTACTGTTGAAAGATTTGTGGAGGATCTAATGATTCTTAAGAAGAGAATACAAACACTTGTCTCTGTAAGATGTAGCGATCCAGTTGACATTAGAAGGCTGAGGTTCTTAATGACTTACTTGCCTCGATCTTCACTGGCAAAGCCTCTGACCACACCACTCAAGTCTTGGAAGGCAGATGCAGGGACTGTGAGAATGATGACCCTAGGCCCACTGTAGGAGAGGATCTGTTTCGAACCTGAACATACACAAGTCCATGGGACCTGATGAAATCCATCCGCGGGTCCTGAAGGAGCTGGCAAATGAAGTTGCTAAGCCACTGGCCACCATATTTGAGAAATCATGGCAGTCAGGTGAAGTTCCCGACGACTGGAAAAAGGGAAATGTAACCCCCATTTTCAAGAAGGGAAAATGGATGACCCGGGGAATTACAGACCAGTCAGTCTCACCTCTGTGGCTGGTGAAATCTTGGAGCAGATTCTCCTGGAAGGCATGCTAAGGCACATGAAAAACAACAAGGTGCTTGGGGACAGCCAGCATGGCTTAACAAAGGGGAAATCCTGCCTGACCAATTTGGTGGCCTTCTGTGATGGGGCTACAGAACTGATGGACAGGGGTAGAGCAGTTGATGTCATCTACCTGGACTTGTGCAAAGCATTCAACACTGTCCCACACGACATCCTTGTCTCTAAATTGGAGGGACATCAATTTGATGGATGGACCACTCAGTGGATAAAGAACTGGCTGGATGGCTGCACACAAAGAGTTGTGGTCAATGGCTCCATGTCCGGCTGGAGACCAGTAACAAGGGATTGGTGTTGGGACCGGTCTTGTTCAACACGTTTGCTGATGACACCAAGCTGTGTGGTTTGGTTGATATGCTGGAGGGAAGGAATGCCATCCAGAGGGACCTTGACACGCTTGTGAGGTGGGCTGATGCCAACCTCATGAAGTTTAACCATGCCAAATGCAAGGTCCTACACTTGGGTCGGAGCAATCCCAGGCACAGCTACAGGTTGGGCAGGGAAGAGATTCAGAGCAGCCCTGTGGAGAAGGACTTGGGGGTGTTGGTCGATGAGAAAATGAACATGGGCTGGCTTCAGTGTGTGCTCGCAGCCCAGAAAGTCAACCGTATCCTGGGCTGCATCAGGAGCGTGACCAGCAGGTCAAAGGAGGTGATCCTGCCCCTCTACTCTGCTCTTGTGAGACCTCACCTGGAGCATTGTGTGCAGTTCTGGTGTCCTCAACATAAAAAGGACATGGAACTGTTGGAACAAGTCCAGAGAAGGGCCACGAGGATGATCAGGGGACTGGAGCACCTCCCGTATGAAGACAGGCTGGGAAAGTTGGGGCTGTTCAGCCTGGAGAAGAGAAGGCTGCATGGAGACCTCATAGCAGCCTTCCAGTATCTGAAGGGGGCCTATAGGGATGTTAGGGATGGACTCTTCGTTAGAGACTGTAGTGACAGGACAAGGGGTAACGGGTTAGAACTTAAACAGGGGAAGTTTAGATTGGATATAAGGAGGAAATTCTTTCCTGTTAGGGTGGTGAGGCACTGGAATGGGTTGCCCGGGGAAGTTGTGAATGCTCCGTCCCTGGTGGTGTTCAAGACCAGGCTGGACGAAGCCTTGGGTGAGATGGTTTAGTGTGAGGTGTCCTTGCCCATGGCAGGGGGGTTGGAACTTGATGATCTTAAGGTCCTTTCCAACCCTAACTGTTCTATGATTCTATGATTAATATTTAGTGTAAGCTAGGTTTTACTGTCCAGACATGTTTGCTACATAATTCCACATTCTTTTATGGATTATATTGGTAATTAAAAAACAAAACAAAACAGCAAAACCACAAAAAAACAAACCAAAACAACTTTTGTTTAAAATGCTGTCTCCATGGAATGACTCAAGTATTTACTTGAGGATTTCTTCTTAAAGCAGCAAAAGTTGCCAGAGTGTTCTTGGTTGGGGGCAAGGTGGTGCATGGTACTAAGAATTTTCTGAATATTCTTTGAATTCTCTGTCTATATTCTCTGTGTGTATAATATAACATCTAATGTAGGTCAAGACTTTAAAAAGTCACCTTGTGCCAGCTAACGTGAGGTGTCAGCCTAGTCTTAAATAAGGTCAGAGGATGAAATTTTCCCAAACTTTCCCAATTTTGTTTGGTTTGTTTGTTTTGTTTTGTTCCTAAGTCTCGTGTATTTACACTACAGGAAATACTGGAGGTTCTGGAATGTACTGTAGCTCAAGCTATAGAAAAAATAAACCCTGAAGAAAGGGATGAGTTGAAAGTGTCAGGTAAGGATGTAGTAAAAAATATGGTGGCATAAAAAGTTCTCATGTGCAGTCATTATTAGGATGTTCATATATGTGTATTTCCCCCCCTCCCCATGTTTTGCAATTGCAAAGTCAAATGACATCGGTGCATACTGTCCTACTTTGGGTAATCCAGAAGTTGGCTAAGAAAGACTTGAATTCATATTTCAGGTTTTAAAGCAGCTCAGCATTTTTGTAGTTTAACTTGCATTCCTTTAAGACATTTTACAAGTATTCTGTCAATCTTTGATTTTTCTGAAGGAAAATATTACAGATAACACTGGAATTAAGACATAGGAATGGAAGCACATTCATTTGTATAATATCTCCAGGCTGAATATGATGAACTTGAAGGAGACAGTGCAGTTACACAAGGACATTTGAGTCTCAATAAGTTGTGAAGAGGTCCATTTGTACTATTACATTTTGGGTTTTATACAGGTTATTATGGTTATTGTTTACTGTCTTGATGCTGAAGTCCCAGCTTTAGAGTTTATTAGACCATCCAACTGAATGACTTCTTGTTCTAAGACTGCACAACCACCTTGAAGTTTGAGAATATTGTATTTAATGGCAGTCACCTTTGAGAAGGCTATTTTCCCCCTATTTTTGTAGTAATGGTGTATATTCTAAGAACCCTTTACCCGAGCAGAACTGTATATAGCAAAAATAAATAGCTGTATGTTTAATAGTAGTGTTTAGTTACTGATTACTATTTCTTTGAAAACAGCAAAACTTTTCATTGTTGGATCAAACTCTTCATCAATCAGAGATGCAATTGACCTGGGTAAGTATGAAACTCAAACTTCTGGGAGGGTTTCTTTTTGCTTCACTACTTCAGAAATAAAATCAGAATCTTTTCTATACAAGAGATGTGTTTAGTGACTGCCACAGTATGTCCTCTTTTCTAATTAAGAGAGACTTGGGTAATAAAGTCTATATATGCATTAGTTCAGTCAGCAAACTTATTAAATGTGGATCACTGTAACCTTAGGTCCACAAACTCAAATCTGATTGCTTGCTCCAAGCAGGAGCAAGCTTTTATTCTTTCACTCAAAACTTGTTAAAAAATGAATAGCATGTGATACTGTAGTAACAAGTGATGCAATAGTTCCTACCAGTTGGATGTTATTTGCCAGTTGTTTTTAACATGATGAACTTTGCTACTAACTGTGCAGTATTTCAGAGATTATTTAAGAAATAAAACAATGCTGCAATCAGCTGCTGAAATAGTTTTAATGAAAATAATGGCTGCATTGATACATTAAGTTTTGTTAGTCTATGGTAGCAGTAATTGTGAGCAGCACTGAACTTTATTACTTTGGAAGATGGTTGGGCATACGGGGTTACCGAAGAACAGAGGGTCAGGTGTAATTCTTCTCTATCAGTACTCCAGTTAATAGCCTCTTTATTGGAAGTTGTGGTACCATTTGTTAAAAATGCATGGATAGAATCCTCTTCCAGAAGAAAATAATTTATTTAGCTCCTTAGTTTTCTTCTTTATGCTTTGCAGAAGAGGCCTCATGACTTTAATCTTTGCTAAAGCTCAATGATATTCTGAGACTTGCCACTTCTCTGTCAATTTAAATCCCCAGATTTAGTTTGCTTTAGTCTTAACTCCGCACATAGAGCGAATAGTCCTCCTAGTCCATGCCCTGTATTTGAGTTAGAGTTCATAGTGAAAGATAAAAATTTTGGAAGGAACTGAGAGTGAAGGCATCAAAAATTGCACGTCCCCACTGCCTTAAGTTTTAGCACTGAAAAAAGAGAAAAAAAGCTTCAGGCTTGCTTTGGTGATGTTTTTGTTTTTCCCAAGACTTACAACTGAACCTTGGCTTTCAGCTGTATGTTTGCTTCTTTTCTAAATCCAGTCTGTTGCTATCCTTGACTGCTGATACACTGAAGAGTTTGAAACAGTGAAAGGGAAGCTAGCAGAGTGAGGCAGGAGGCGTGGGTTTTGCTGAGTCATGATGCTTGTGTTGTTACCTCACCAAAGACTTTGCAGTGTCTCTCTTCTTTTTCCTCAGCGTGTTCTGCCCTCGGTGTGGCTCAATTAGACTCAGTCATTATTGCCCCACCTCCTGTTGAAGATGGAACTAGCTTCTCCTTGGAGTATTTGCAGCCTTATTGGCAAGAACTTGAAAATCTAGTTCAAAACAACAAGATTGTTGCCATAGGTACCTCTGACCTAGATAAAACACTGTTAGAACAGCTGTATCTCTGGGCACAGGTGAGAACAAACTTCCTATTTGTAGGATTTCTAGCACAGAATAACTGTTGGTTTGTTGACTGCCACATTGTTACAAACTTTTGTTAGAAAGCAATCTATATACAAAATATTTGTTAGCCCTGTTTTTAGCATCTTATGGATGGTCACAACCTTGTTCGTGGTAGGGGAGGCTCAAAGTATGACTGACCATTGTTTGGTATTTTTAGATACAGGCCAGCAAAGGCTGGAAACCCCAAGTCTGTGCAATAGCAGGTTCTTTGAAGTAGTGAAGGTTTGGGTTTTGAATGCTTTCATGTTTAGTAATGAGTATAAACTAAACAGCACTCTTAAACCTCCAGATTTATTCCAGTGACTCTGAAAACTGCCATTTCCACTTTAAGATGTGTTATGAATGGAGGGATTTCTCCTTAGGAAGATGCTGTTTAAATGCTAAGTTTAAATGTAAAGAGGAAAACGGGTTACGAATGAAGTGGCACAATATTGTGTTGTCCAATGTGACTAATCACTCTTTCCATTAGAGTGATGGAGGTGTGTACTAGTATGTCTCCATGCTCATGTAAGGATGTATTGTTGCCTTATTCGTTCTTTGAATACTCCTTTTACGACATTTCTTGTCATATGTGAGCATTCTGTATCTGCAGAAGAGGTCCTGTTGAGAGTCCTCATTTGTCCTCCTTGCCATTTTGTGTGTACTGAGGAGGATAACTGAGGGGATTAACAGCCATCTGCGTGGTGGTCATGAGTGCAGTTTGTGACTAGCAGAAAGAGTCAGTGGAAGAGCATCCCTTTTAACTTAACCCTGCAGGCATGGAAGACTGCAAATTATATATCCTTAAAAAAGTTTATTTGCATTTTATTTAATGTCTTTATCAAACTAATGCCCATGTTATGTTTTTACTGAGGTGGAAGGGGGGAAATGCTGCTGTTCAGGGAGCACAGCAGATGGGAAGCCAGAATGGGTAGTATTAATCTTGCTATGACAGCATCTGAAGTTAGATCCTATTCTTGTTTTGGGCTCTGTGCTGCAGGAAATTGCAGATATAGGAGTTGCCTGTTGATGATCATGCAGACTTACTTGGCCTTGTTGAGACCTCAAAACAGATTGTTCAAAGAAGACTTTCTGTTGTAATACAGGGCATAAGGGAAGCAACGTACATTTATGTGTTTTTCTTATAAAAGTATTTGTTACTTTCAGGTAAAACCGAGTAGTAATCAGGTGAACCTAGCTTCCTGTTGTGTGATGCCACCTGATCTCACAGCATTTGCAAAACAGTTTGACATACAGCTGTTAACTCACAATGACCCAAAAGGTAAGGCTTTGCCAGATAAATTGAAGGAAGATTTCTGAGTGCATTATTCAGTACAAAATTGGGAATAATCTTTATCTGAACTTAGCGTTCATTGCATTTGAATACTGAACCAAGGATTCTAAAAGATCTTCCTTTATAAAATATTTCCATTCAGTTCTTGCTTTTCCTTCAAGAAAGGAGGGGAAGGGCAATCTTCCACACTTGGATAATTTATTGAAATAAATAGAAGAAAAAAACTACTGAGAAATCTGTACTACGTATGTTCAAAAATTAGCATAGCTCATTTTCACAAAGCATAGAATGAAATGACAGTTCTGTTGCTGAAGGTCAGTAAATGACAAATGAACGCCCACTTGTCCAGAACTTGTCTGTGAAAGAGCTTGCACAGAAATGTTGGTCACTTGATCTTCAAGTAGTTTGGTAATGTGAGATATGTAACATTACTATGCTTTAAGCAGGATTCCCTCAAAGTAGGGATCTGTTAAAATACCAATATTACAAAAAGAGTTGGTGTAAATTCTTGGTTTGTGCATTAATTTACTGAATGATTGAAGGACTTGGAGACTTTTCTTTAGACTTGAGAGCTCCGAGTTACCAGCTTCCTAAGAATATTCTGGGATTAGTTTCTCTCAAACATCATCTAATCTTCTTCACTAAAATGACACCTTATATAGCTTGCTGGAACTGTGAGAGGTCTGAAACAATGTTCAGTTAATTCCTTCCCTACGTTCTTCCTTATGACCTTATTCCTGCTGATCGTACTTCTCTTTTTCTTCCCATTCCCCCCTGAAAAAAAAGTATATGAAATACTATTTATTAATTACATGCTTTATAGTACCACTGTTAGAACTGATGAATTTCACCACTGCTTGAGCATGTATCAGCACCGCTTTAGCAGCGTACAAGATGAATTGCCAGTCTGACCATTTCCATGTCCTGTGAAATCCAAGTTGCAACTTTTAATTTAATGAGAGTCATGACCTGAAGAGGAGGATTTGGATAGAAAACAAAGCAAATAATTATTCCCTTATGCATTGTTTGCTAAGCTTAACTTTTCTGTAATGGTCAGCTGAAGAGTATTCAGACTTATCTTTTGGGAACACTCCTCATCAAAAAGATTGTTCCCTTGGCTGGCTTTCCAGAGGAAACTAGGAGGATTTGTATTTGACTTCCTCTTCCATTTTGTGGAGTTTAAGCCCATTTTTCTTAATGCTTTCTGGGTTTGCAGTTGTTATGAGCCCAGTTATGGGAGATGCTGTAAATTGTTGAGCTTTCAGTGACTGCAGAGGTAACTGAGAATGTGCAGTACTTGGCTGATTGTGGCCTTATGTCTTACCCACCTGTGGTTTGTCTAGCTAGCTTCTCAAATTTTACTTTCCTCCTGCTAATGGCTGTGCTGATCAACTCCATTTGATACTGTAGAAATCTCAGTTTTGGGGGATATACTTAATGTTGAAACAAACAAAGGTGCCCTGAAGATTGCTTCAGTAATATGCAGCTGCTTTCACCATATGTGCATTCCAAAAGAGTGGATCTGTGGAGCATCTGGCACTGCTTAAGATTTCTGACTGTAGGAAAAGGCTTCTCTTATTGAAAGTGTTGCTTTTTGCAGCTGTTTACATGACATGATTTAAAGCATGAATATCCCTTTTTAACTTCAGAATTACTTTGTGAAGCAAGTTTCCAAGAAGTTCTTCAGGAAAGCATCCAGGACATGAAAGCACACGAATGGATTCCTTTATGGCTCCTCCGGTATTCCGTCATTGTTAAAAGCAGAGGAATTATCAAGTCCAAAGGCTATATCATGCAAGCTAAAAGGAATTCCTTTTAAAACACTTATTTTCTTTAATGGCTTACTGTTTTAGTTCCTTGGGGATGGGGGAAACATTGCTTTTTTTCATAGAAACACTTTTACACCATTTGTAACAAAGACCAAAAGTTGTAATTACTCAGTGTAATGTCAGCAGGAGTGTCTACAGTGCTCTAACGCTATTTTTCTTACTTAACCTATTGACCAGTTAATTGAAAAGATGAAATATTTGGGTTTAGTTTGAATTACTGATAGCGAAAGTTTAAAATACTTTTTATGACCAGTTCACTGTAAAATTATCATTATATTGTAGCTGCCATTAGGTAGTAGAGAGAAACTTATATATTTTTATTTAAAAAGAATTAATTTCTCTTAAATAAGAGTTACTTGCCTGGTAGGTACATGGATTTCAAGCATTCAAGGACTGATTTTTATAGAAAATTGTAATCTTTTATGAAAAATTACCCAGAAAAATGCAACTGGTATCTCATGACTTGGTATGTATATATAGGCAAGTCAGCTGTTTAATTTGGGTGGTGGGAAAACTGCTTTATTTTTAATAGAGTGTAAAAGGCCTTCCTGACTTAGGAAGAATGCATCTTCCCCGTTACTTTGTCTGTTACTTGAATTCCTTCTGGCTGCTCTGTGCCTCAGTGTGCTTTGTTTAGTGTTTGCACATGTGTGTTGGCATCTTTGCTGTTTGAAATAGAAAAATGTATTGTTGTGTGAGTGTTTCAAATAAGCATTGCAAACAAGCGATGACAAAATCTGTTAATCAGAAACTGAATTGTGCCTGTCTTCTCACCGTGGCTTCTGTGTTTGACACTTGTGAACTCCACAATCAGGATGGGCCAAATCAGAACAGCAAAGGCTGAAGCTGTTCACAGTAGGATTGCTAAAGGACTTCTTCTGAGGCTGCCCAGGACACTTTGTTGCTGGAGTGACATTCAAGAGTGATGCAAGCAAGGATTAGCTTGAAGTTAGGTATATTTCTGGGGCAGTAGCTTAGCAAACTGGCTTTTGAATCCTAGACAGATTGCTGCAGCTAAGGCAAGGCTTCTCGTTTAATGTAGTCTTTCCATCGGAAAGGTGTTTGAATCAGAATAGGTAGCAAAAGCTCAACTTGTAATTCAGCAAGAGCTTGAGACTGAGTGTCTAAAATACTGATTTTTCCTTTTGATTTCAGGCACGAGCAGGACTTCATATGAGTAGTACTAATTAACTTAGTTGTATGTATTCTGAGACTGGGGCTCTAAAGGGAATGAATTTTCACTAACATCTTTCCAATTGTCATGTAGGCAGCTAGTGGTGTTTGAATGCCTGTAGGTAGTGTTTAGAGTGTCAGCTTCCTATAATCCATTCCACTAAGGTAAAAGCTTACTTAATATTTGAGGTAAGTTTTGAGTCCCTATAATCCATTCCACTAGGGTAAAAGCTTAATATTCGAGGTAAGTTTTGAGTCCTAAATAGCTGGAGGTGGCAAATATGGGGAAATTTTCCTGGACTTCTTCAGGTCTTATGATCAATGGGAGAGATGGGGAACTGGAACTAATAATGCGTCAATAAACATTTGGGTTGGGTTAGTTGGTTTCTTAATCCTAACCAAAATGTGGTCTTTTTAAAATGCTGGGTCACTTTATCTCAAATACGTGTCATTTAAACGTCTCTGCGAGCTTTGAGTTGTGTGCTGCTGCTAGCCACTACCTGTACCTTCTGTCTCTGTTTGGCCGCTGACATTGGATATTGTATTGCTTGCATGTGTGCTCAGTTTTATAAATGGAGATGCTACAAAACAAGAATTGTGCTCAAACGTGTAGGCTGCACTAATGGGGTAATTATTTATTTCCTTTTTGTAAACTGGTGACAGTTTGCTGGTGTAGAAAATCACTCTTTGAGACATGGTGATTCTAAGAGATTATTTTTTGGGAGCTGCTGACAGCATAACATTTATCAGGTTATTTCATTAACTTGTTTCGCATCAAAGAGATGGGATTTCTTTCAGTAACGTGAAAGTTTGAATTAAAAGTTGAAATTCTCGTAGGCTTTTACCTCTGTGCTTTGTACGAGTTCTCCCCATCGCAGTCACGGTATTTCACATGTGGTCATCAACCTCTCCCGCCGCTTCATGCGATCAGAGGCCGTGCGCCCACCGGCGCTGCATCTGCGTTCAGAGCGCGGCTCGACGCTCTGGGCCGAGGCAGCCGCCGGAAGGGCGGGCGGAAGGGGCGGGCGCGGGGACAAGATGGTGGCCACCAGGCGGGCAGGGGCGCGGCGCCGGCAGCCGGGGACGCCGGCCGAGGGAGGCGGTGGCAGCCCCAGCGGGGCTGAGAGTGAGCCCGCCGGAGCGGGGGAGGTGAGTGGGGCCGGGGCCGCGGGCAGCCGCGGTGCGGGCTGTGGCAGCGCGGTGGCGGCCATCTTCACGCGCTGCCACACGCGGTGGAACGGGGCTGGGGCCGCAGCGGGGTACGGTGTTAACCTGTTAACGCGGCTTAGGGGTAAAGGTTAGGAGATGACGTCGTTCTTCTTTGTACTGCTGCTGTTTTAGCAGTTCTCTGTGGGTTTTCCACTTGGTAAATACTGATCCGGAGGCAGCGTGGTGTGTGTTGAACCAGCGGGGTTCTGCGCTTTGGGAAGAGCGTGCTGTCGCCGTGTGTTTTCTTTCCCAGATTCTGAATTGCTTTCCAGGGCGCTAGAAGCATCGTTAAAGAAGCAGGCTGTACCTGGTGTTGCGGTTGCCGAGAGGCCAGTCTGTGCCTAAAACTGGTTATAGAAACCCCTTGGGGGCACATCCTGCCATTTGCTAGGCTTCAGTGTTTTATAGTTAAGCGAATCTTGTAACGTTTCTGTACATGGCTTCTGAATTTCCTTCCCTTCACAGCTTGCCAGAACGTGTAGAATTAGAAGATACTTGTCTGTATTTCTTAATGGACAAATGTGTTTCTTCTTCTGATTTGACCAAAAGAGAGTAGACAAGCATGAGCACGGGATGGTTCGTTAGTACTTCTTCCACATAGATAGAGACATGCAGTATGTTGTCAGTTTGAGTAGAGTTCTTTAAGGAGATTATTAGTGATTTGCATAGCATCCTTTTTATGGGGTTATTTTGTCTGTTAATAGCGCACTTATGTTTTTTTTACTCCCTTTGCAGATGGCAGCTGCTGAACTCAGTACTGTGTCTGTGAGGATGACTAGGAGAAGAACTAAATCCATTTGTATGCCAGAGGTAATTCAGGAATCTCAGTTTGAAGAGTTGGAACATGCAGAAACAAAGTCAAATGTCAGAGATAGCTTAGAGGCAGAACTGACTAGAAATGAGAACACAACTGTCCATTCAGTACAATCAGTTGCTGAACCACAAGCTGATGGGGATGTGTCAGAAGCAGAATCGAACTGCTCTGCTGCATCTGGTCTTCAGACACCTTTGTTTATAAGGGTAACGAGACGAAGAAAAATTGTAGTTCCTTATCAGCCGGATTCTCCTGACAAAAGAAGATACAACAAGACAGCTTTTCTAAATAAGTTAAATGGGATTCTGGATGAAGATGATGTTTCTGAAGCTGAGTCTTGTTCCTCCACTGTTTCTGGTGTTACCAGAACTATGAGAAGCAGGCGAAGCAAAAAGGAGTTGCAGCCAGATACAGTTCATGAAGCCCAGAGTGAAGATATTTCTGATGCAGACTCATGCTGCTTAAGCTCTCATATGGAACCATCAGTCAGTAACAGGCGAGTTACTAGGAGCATGCAGATCAAATCACAAGCAGAAAATATTAAGAAGGCTGAGAAGGGAAACAGAATTGTTTCAGAAGATGAGAATTTAACTGAGGACACTGTTAAATCTGAGCCTGTCATTTCTGATTCTAGACCAGCTGCAGAACTTGTTTCTGACACAGAAGATGCTTCCCCTGTCACTGAGGATAATGAAGAACCCAGTTCACCTAAAAGCAAATGTTCCTTCAAATCTGCCAATACAACCGAGAGTGAAGGCATGAAAGAAGAGTCTTTGCATGATGTGACACCCAGCAGTCTTACAGAAATGAAACCAAGTGACAGTGAATCGCCTGAGAAAAGGGCAATTAAAAATACACAGTCGGTTGGGGCTGACGATTCAGAGGAAGCATGTGGCCAAATACAAGAAAACTACAGTAAAATCCTTGTGAGGGTGGAAAAGTTAGAGCATATGAATTTCTCTGATAGCATGAGTCCCAAACAATTTTTAGAATTTCAAGGGCAAATAACACTAAATAAAGATAAAAAAGATCCAGAATGCAAAAGAGAGGGTGCTGAGGCAGATCCACAGCAGCCTTTCACCCATGCTGATAACTTAGGAAAGGATGAGCAAGCTACTGAAGTGAGGAGCCCACAAAAGGATGAAGCTGTCGCACAAGGAACTGACAGCGTTAGCGGATGCGGGATGCTTGAAAGCGGTGTGGACAGTGCTGAAGATCAAACAGGAGAATATGCGGAACCTGTAGCTCACTGCAGTGGAATTGCAAGCAGTGGAAACAATTCCCTTGCATTGTTTCTGGCCGAAGATGAAAGTGATGAATTTGAAGATAGTGATGTGGCGGACATAGATAAAACTGAAGAGAATCTGTATTATAAAGAGGCAGATAAGAGGACTCCTTCCCTCAGCAAATCTTTAGAAACCAGTTCACTGGATGCTGAAGGGCTTTTTGTAATTGATACCAAGCCTGGCATAAGTTCCGACCGAAAGTATTACCTAGATCAGATAGACCAAGGTAGTGATGCTGAAGATAAGCATGAAGGAAGTAAAAAAGGTGAAGAATTGTCAGATCTGGAAGAGGCTGAAGAAGAGTTGATAGATGAAGATGAGAAAGAAGATGATGATGATTTATTGAAAAATCAGAATGATGTGTAAGTATCTTTCTGGCAATAACTTAAGAATCCGCATTTCATTCAAGCATATGCGTAAGAGATGTACATTAAGTGCTAAATGATGTGGAGTAAATGAGGAAGTAGTCTCTCATCACATAAGTCATTGATGTGTGAAGTGGGGTTGAACAGATTATAACGTACCAATTGGAGAGTTTGGTTTTTTTTTTCAGTGCTGTATGTAGCAGAACAGAACTGTCTGAAATAGTATGTGTACAGCTTAGAAACCAGAGCGTGAAACTGGGTTAGACTGCTCAGGCTGACTTAATTGCTTGTTTGGGTTGTAGTTTTCTTAATTGTGTGTTTAGTTTGGATATCAGTAACAAAAAGTCCAGTAAATTCCTTACACATTGGCTAATTCTATCATGCTTTTTAATCCTAAATAGTTGCATATCCTTTAATAATGTTTTTAGTTCTTGTGCTGTGAAACAATGACACTTGAAGTGAAATCAGCCCAGCACAGAATAATTTAGGTGGGGTGGGACCTCTTGAGCTCTTGTAGTCCAACTCCTGCTAAAACCTCTTCATATGCTTTATATATTTAAAGCATAATGCTCTGTTTAGTTTGGATAAATAAGTCTCATTTATTAATCTTCTAAAAACCTTCAGGTAGGCCAGAAGTCTTACAAAAACTCAGTGTAAAGGCATTATAGCAGATTAGTCACAGTATACTAGAAAGTTGTGACGGGCTTGTATTAATAAGCATTCAGGCTACAAGAAATATTTGTCGTACCATATTTCTCTGTAATACTTTATAGCTTTTAAGCATTCTTGTCATCATAAACCTCCTTTGGAGTCAGCCATTGTCTCTTTTTTGTAGATGCATTCCTTTGGCTGCCTGATTGAAGTAATGAGAAACTGAAACACATCAGCTTTGAAATGTTTAATGATGTTACTCCTAGTACTCTTAA